AAACCCAGCCTGCTCCTCGCGAGTCAATCTTTCTCGGGTTTTGAACAACCTACGAAATATGACAGAAGCCAATAGCTTGGACGCAATCGGAAGTAGACTTATCCCTCGATAGTTGTTACAGGAACGACGTGAACCCTTTTTAAAGATAGGGACAACTATCGACTCATTCCATGACGTTGGTACACACTCTAGCTCCCAGAACTTTGTAAACAACACAGTCAGTTCCTTAGTCAGAATGTCACCACCATCTTTAAAAAGAGTCGGAGATAAACCATCTGGGCCCGGTGATTTGTAGCGCTTCAAGAGTTGGAGTTCCTTGCGGACTTCCGCCTCATTCGGTGGATCAGTCGTCACCGGCCATGAAGAGCATGACAGTCTGACCGATGTTGCCGGAGCAGCAGGCCAGTTGAACTGCCCTTCGAAGAATTCTGCCCATCGTCCAAGACGTCGATGGGTGTTAATGATTGGCACCCCGTCATCCTCACAGATCGTTTCGCTCACACCAGACTTCTTGCTGTCAGTGGCTCGGATGAGTTAGAAGAGCTTCCGGTAGTTACCACATGCAGCTGCTGCTTCCAGCTCATTAGCACGCTCCGACCGCCAGGCTTCTCGGTCCTTACGCAAGCTTTGCCCGATTTCATTACGTAACAGCCTTCGTTTGTGGCCAAACTCACGATTACCCAGAGTAGACCGACGGACTTCGATGAGTTGTAACGAGATAGAAGAAACACGGTGCTTATAAGCGGGACGTTTCGCGAATCCGCAAGTGGCCTTACTCGCCATTTTCATGGCGTCATGAAGTTGCAACCAACGCTCATCTATACTTTTTGGTGGAATGGTAGCTAGCCTAGAAGCTAGATCGGTTCGATACTTACTTGCAACAGAAGTTGCAACCAGCTTGCTAACATCAATCCGTTGGTGGCGTTCACTTCTTTGTCCACTGAAAAGTAAGGTAAGATTGGCGCAGACCAAGGCATGGTCAGAGTCCAGATAGGTACTCCAAAAGGAGCGGCAGTCTTGTACACAACCGCGCCAGCGGTAGCTCGTGGCGATGTGATCAATCTGAGTCCAGGCTTGAGATGCAGAGGGAGGATGCCAGTTGGCACATCGGCGATGACTGTGCCGAAAGTTAGTGCTAGCCAAAAACAGGTTGTGGTCTGTGCACAGTTGCAGTAGACGGTCCCCGTTATCTGTCCTGCGACCAACAAGTCCCCATCGGCCACCTAAACGACCCTCTTCTGTGTCTAGACGCCCGACCTGAGCATTCAAGTCTCCGGCTAGTACTACAATATCTGTCGAACGCACTTTCTGGAGAAGAACAGATAACTGGTGGTAAAACTCATCCTTGATTGCATCCGGGCTGCAATTTGTCGGGGCATAGGCGGGGATGACGAGAAGACATCGTTTCTCACTCCGATTTCTTCTCACTTTGATGGAACTTTCTAATCTAACAGCACATAACCGACTGTTAATGGGGATCCAGTCAATTAGTGCTGCCTCAGCTCTAGCGCTTAGTGGGACACCAACGCCAGCAAGACCAGATGAAGATGCCACAGGGTCTCCGGATAAGCGCACGTAAAACAAGCTTTTTGAAGCGATAGATGGAGAGCGGATTTGTAGTACTTCACTGGGGTCTTGAATACAGGTCTCGGATAGACAACAAACGTCGATATTAAGACTTTCTAAAGACATAGCCAACCCTATCTGTTTTCATATCTGCATTAGTGTATGAACGTTGAAGGCAGCCATTTTGAATGGTGCACGTAGTTTCAGAAAAACTGTTTCAGTACTCATATTCGGTGGTAAGAGTAGAGGATATCCTTAGGTTACTAGTATTTGATCATAGGTTTCTTCGAAATATTGCTCGTATATCCTGGGACCATCGAGTAAGTAATGCAGTTGTTAAGAAACGGGTACCAGGTAAGGATGGCAAATCAATTGATGACCTAGTGAAACTTCATCAGTTGAGATTGCTGGGACATGTGTTACGTATACCCAACGACCGACTACCTCGATGTGCGATGTTTGTTGTATAGGAGTAGATTGCAAGAAAGCTAGGGGCGGCCAGACCAAAACATGGCACAAGTCCATGAAGTCACTGACAAGTAGACTGAGTCATATTGGTAGGTGTAGACTACCTGGTTGGGGACTGCGAGATGATAGCAACCGATGGTTAGAGACCCTGAATGACATGACTCAAAATCGTTTGCAATGGTGCAGGTGCGTCCACTCTTTGTGTTCTCTCAAATTCTAATCTGAATTCTTCATGTCCCTTTCTTTTTTCTCTTTCCAAATTTATTTCACTGAATTATACTCCTTGAATAACATCTTCAAACCCTAATTTTTCTGATTACAGCTTATAATTTTACTACATCTTGCACTACGAAATTTGAATCGACCACTGCATCTCTGTGCTAATGTGGTGTGGCAACTGGGACCGATGTACGTACGTACAAAGTTCTACGTTGTTACTAACTGACTGACTGACTGGCAACATAGAATTTTCAACCGGACAGTGACTCGAGAACGTTTAGATACAGTCGAATTTCCACCATAGGCGAGCTGCTGTATAAGTGGAAAAATAAGGATAGACAGAATGGGAATAAAAGAGAGTGAATAAATGACCTAGTAAATAATAATAATAATAATAATAATAATAATAATAATAATAATAATAATAATGTGAATCGTTTGATTATTAATCGAAGCAAGAAAAGTATTTTCCGTAATTATCGACAGTTCATCATAATTGTATGTGGGCTGTGATACTGTCCGGGTGCCCAGGCCGAAGCAGGTGGTTTTCTTAGAGGTCCACACCCCGAGCCTTTGACCTAGAGGTCTAACACACAAGGCAGTGGAGCATCGTAGGGAGATGCAGTCCCATGGTAGCCGGTGACCAAAATTTGGTTTATACACCATTTGTTCCCTCAGGATACTGGAGCCCATGTGCACCATCGGTTTGGGATCCGGTTAAAGCGCCGGACATTCGCTTTTCGTCCTCTTGATTTTGTAAACAACACCCCCACCACGAGAAGGCAGTGAGTAAGACTCCCCTGACAAAGGCTGTATGCGCGTGGTCGTGTGAGAGCATTTCGAGAGGGAGGGCGGGCCCACCCCTCTCGGCCATACCATGGCATTTGGGCGCCTACCGAGATCACTGGATAATTGTAAAGGTATACAACTGACTGACGAGGAAATACCTATCGATAAATTACTGGATTTATACTAATGGCAAATCTTATAATGGGACGAAAAATCTTTTTAAGTCTATGATTTTAAATGGTGTAATAATTAGTGCTAACTTGTAATGAAAACTATCTTCAAAAATTATTTGTTGTTTAACACTATGTGATTGGGAATCATAACTAAATATACTTTGTATACTTATTCATTTTTTTCACTTTCATTATGAACTCCGTTCAGATTATGATGCTATAATCACTAAATAACTGTCTAACTAACTCTGAATACTAGTTCATGTATTTATTTCAAACTCCAAATTGGTTGTTACATCATCAAAATGATACAATCCATAATGTTAACTATATTACTTAAATATTTTACAAAACTTTTATTCTATACTTTCTCAAACTAAACATTTATATTTATCAAAAAGACAAAAGATTAGTTATTTATCAACTTTTTAGGTAAACAGATTTTTTACCGGTGATTCACAATTATAGCATTATATCTGAACTATTATTTAAGTATTTAAATACTGACATATCATGCTTACGCAAAATAACTTTAAAATATGAATATTTACATTGTTCTGAAGGTAAATCACATTTAACCACCCATTAACAAGATGGAATTGATAACTGTGTGGTTATTTATTTACCAATACACTTGAATTGTTTTTATTACATCTATTTTATAACAACTTGATCACTATTTTGACAATATATCCGTCATCGGTAAAAAAAAACCCAATTAACTGGATGAATAATACATTTGCTTTAAATTTCAAGATTATCTTGTTTTCAGTTAACATAGTTTTTTTTTTACCAAAATTTTGTGATGATATAAAGGTACGTTAATTTTAACATTTTACAACAGTTAAGAAAAATTCATAAGTATAAATAAAAGTTTACACGATTTAAACAACTTGACTCGAAATATTATAATAATTAGTAGTATTTTTGGTCAAAATCAATTAATACTGGTGACTGGACAATATTTATTACTTAAACCTATAAATAGAAACGTTTAATTGCTTACGGCACTGATCGTTAAGTTGGTGATCGGTTGTATACGAAGTCACTGACAAACTTTCAGCTACACTATGTGGGTTTTAGAGGTCTCAAGTCCGTAGGTTAGGTGATCTAGTTGTCAAATTTTGATTGTATTTTTTGGACAGCGTCATCAGACATGCCTTGATATATCCTCATTCTGAGCTGAAAATATTTTACGTTATTATACTGGTGTGGGTTATATAACTTTTTTGAGATCAGTGATTGTAGTACACGGCAATAAAAGAGAAATAGAAAACAGAAGTCAGTAGTTTTTTTATTAATTATTTTGGTTATTTTTAAGTTGTATTTATCGAAAAATGGTTTCATGTCAATCTTATGTAGTCCTAAATGTAAGTTTTTTTACCACCTAGTAATTGTTATTACCTTTTATTTTTTGAAAATAACAGTCTACTAACTAAAAATCATTGAAATTACTACATTCTCCACAAAACCCATCTGATAAAAACGTATCACTTAGTTCTCCGTTAAATGTATCTAGATGATGCACTTATTGTTCTTTATAAATTGTTGGACATTATAGTGTCATACTGCACATGAATTATACATCTTTATCGTAAAAGTATTTATAATCTCCCCCCTCTCTTTCTGCTGCTCCGATTGGAGATATGTAAAAGGGAGATTGCCGTGATGTAATGAGCGTGTGAAAATACAAGGATCATAGTGATGTATCTATTCATTTCAAAAGTATCTATTGTCTGTATTACAGTGGTTAACTAAAACTATAAGCATTTATTTTCAATTTAGCTGAAGGAGTTTCGAACAATGTAAGTTTTCCAAGTAAACAAGACGCTCAAGAAATAATCAGAAAAGTAAAATATGCTTTTAATTTGAATGAACAAATTCAACCACATATTCCAGAAGAAATATCAAAGAAAATTTTCATTCGACTATTCAACACCGTTCAGTGGTTGGATAAAGTTTGTCGACATAATATTGTACCTGACTATGACCAACATATGGTGCGTGAGATTGTTGAACCTTTATTGGAAGAGGCTACGCTTGCAACGATTGCCAAAAGATTACAAAATAAAATCGAGTTTTGGAAAGGACTTGGTCCTGCCTGGAATACTCCACCGTAAGTTAAAATTTACTTAGTTAACTATTATTCTATGACATTTGGTATGCTAATAATTGGCTACACCCCATTCGAGTCTTCAATTTCCTGACTACATGTTTTTTTTTTGTATCATGAAAGTTTCTTTGAAAGTATGTCAATATTTAAATAGATAACAGGTAATCTATAACTTCCATTATGCCATAAACTATCTTTTTTATACTCGAAGACAGTTTTGGCAAGAATGGGAATCACCCGAAAATCAGTCGGCTTCTGGACTTTTTTATCCTAGTTCCTGTTTTCTTACTACTGTTCCAGAAATAACTGGCAATTCTCTCGCCTCGTAGCAAGGATAACACCTCCAGATTACTAAGTTTGAATCTAGCCGGCCACATTTTTTGCTTTGGTCGACTTTTGAAGGGTGTTGATTAATTAAGTGACTTAAGAATACTACTTTCCGAGTTATTAACAGTAAGCAGCCAATGTCGTTTAAAGTCGGTCAGTTTTTTGACGAAACATAGGTGATCAACATTAGTCGGAATGTAAACATGGAAAGTCGAAAAATGTTCCACACTTGCGTTCTTGTTCAGTATTTCGTTTTCAATATTTATTAGTATTAATTTCTTGTTCTGAGTCTATCTGAAATTTTCTGAATACTGAAAGATAATTCATGTTTGTCTTCTAACCAATACCAAAATGATTTCTTTACCGTATATAAGATATATATGTGTATATCACAAAAAGTTTGAATAGGATTCAAACTAACAATCTAAACGCCTTTCATGATATTATCCTAACATGTAAAAATGTCCTAACGAGAAATTGATTTTCACGATTAGAACGTGACATTGTTATACTTTACGTAACATCCTGCTATTGGTATAACCTGTAAATTGTTTTACCATCTTACAATCGATTGTCATTTTTGAGTTATATGTAACAATCATCTCAATGTAAAGATTATAAACGCTAACTTTTGATCATACTATCAATAACGCTTTAACAAAAAGTCCTTGGAACATTTTATATAAACTACAAATGCTTTTATTTGATTATTTATTTCATTCTGAAACTGGTTTTATCGGTTAAGTATTATTGATTTGTTTATATTTGATAATATAGCCCGCATGATTTTTAGTTAACAAAACGAAACCTTGACAGAAAATGTAGTCACATTGTGCTTTCTTAATATAAGTTCATAATTTTTACGACATATAATAATGTATGTATACAAATACTGGTGTCTTTTTCATGAAATTTACCAAGTAAAGTAACATAAAATGGTTAATTGTTATACATATGACATTGACTGGTTAAGAACACTTTATTTAGGTAGACATTTTAAGAAAACAATTTAGATTTTTCGAGTGCGCTACTCTCTCTAGAAGTTCAAATAGACTTATGTTCTGGAACGTTCAAAGATGCTTTATTGTTAAAGACTGTTTAGCATATTCAAAATGTGTAAACATTTATTTAATAAGAAAAAGAGAATGCAGCGAAGAAATTTTTCTTTTCGATGAAATCATTTACTTAAGCTGTACACTCGTATATATAGTTATATAGAAAATATATTTCTATAGGAGGATAGAAAAGATTGCATCATAAATTTATTAAGCCTTTCCTCTGAAGATCCCATTCGGATGTACAAAGCATTTTTAGCTGAAGTGCAAACATCATATGGATATTTCACATATTTGAAGTATTTTTAGTAAGTTAATTCTAAAAGTTCTTAAGGAGTACAGGTTTAACAATATACTGGAAGTAAAGTTTCTCTTTATGTACCAATTTTATCTAACTGACCAGGTATTTCACAAAACTAATTACATGACAATCATTCTAATTAACTGCGACAAGGGATTTAACTCATAGTCTTCCCTGAATGATGTTAGAAGCACACTGTCTAGGATAATAATTATACATATGAACGTAGCGATGAACATTATTGTTGAGTACAGAACAACAGTATATTAGAAAGTGTAGTTCAGGCTAAGTTAGCTACTAAATATCATCGATTAGTCTTTTAAGCACTGGTTACCCGGAGACAGTTGATTCTAATCCTTTTCCGGTTCAGAATTTTCCATAACCTCACTCGTCATTGTCACTGTTTGCAAGACGCATCTTCTCAAGCAAGAATATTATAGACAGTTCAATTGCAGATATCTTTTATACAGGCTACAAAGAGTTGAGGACACAAAATACTACATTATACTACTAATACTATTACCTTGTGCTTCGTATTACCATGCTTGTGGGTGGATGACCATTTGATAAAGGAGTTCATTTTAACTATTTAGTTATGGTAAGTAAGTAAGGAGTCCAACCATAGAATCAAGAGACCTATGACTTCATATGGTTTGAGTTTATCTATAAGAAGCTGATAGTTAGCCAAGTCAAATAGATTAGGTATGTTAGAATACGTTCATAGAACTAATCTGCGCAAAACTACGTTGAGCAAAGAGTGTTAAATAAGCCTAATTAACAAGTCATGCAAGATCTAGCTCTTAGGAATTTGTTTTACAAACATTTAATAAGTTTTTCGACAGGTAAATTTTCTAATAATTTGCCACTTACTTTTAAAATGATCTTAGGGATAATTAATGTGATAATATTGGGTCTATAATTATGCTTGTTCATCTTATTTCGGTAATCCAATTTAAAATTTCATATGGAATTTTCCAACGCCAAGGATAAACGTCTGTTTTCAGAGAAAGCGTAAACAGTTTAGATAGTAGTAATTGGATAACAAGTCCTCCTTATTTGAAGTAAAAGGATGGACTCTCGTCTACTCCGTTACTTCTTGAAGCGTTAACTAAATTTATGGTCTAGTGATTTAGGAATAATTAAAAGAACGGACTTTATTTAGTTGTTCGTTAAATGTAGTACCTCCAATCTACTGTGATCTACCAAACATATCCCTTAAGAGGTTAGTGATGGTTTCAAAGTTCTCTACAGCTTTTATTCTATATCCTTCCTTTGTTCGGTTACAAATGATAGTTATATTTTTGGCTGTAGAAATAACGTAACTGACCCACAAGGGTTTTAATTTGTTACTATATTTAACTGATAAAAATAGAACATATCAGTTGTTTCTCTACTGGAAATTCTTCATATTTATTCAGGTGTGACTATACTATCTATGTTTTTATTTATCAACACATTAGTGTGCACTCTCAGCTAACCACTGTATTTCTACTTGTGCAATAAAGGCTGTCCTGATTTTTGAGTTATCAATTAAAGATTTTAACATATTCTCAATTTATAAAGAAGATCCCATCATATGTTTTTCCTAAATGTTTGAATTCAGTCCATTTGTCTTTAAGTGGATTCTATGTAAACTCTGATAGTCAGCAAAAATAGCTAATCCATCAAGAAATGAAAATAACTACCTTATTCACACATGTCACTTCGTCACTGAGTGATAACCAACTTCAGTCTCTCTATGTCCGAATCATGATCAAATGTTATTTTTCAAGGTGTAGTGTAGTTATTGGTATGTCTCGGATTCCTAGTGCACTTTGTTTGACGTTTCGTTGTTTGAGACAACAAAAAGGAGCTAAGAACGTTTTCGCCAAGTGGTAAATATCAACAAGACCTCGAGAGGAGTGGCAGTGCTCGAACACATGTTGCCCAGTACTATAATTAACGAACCTCTCATCTAGCTATTCAGACCTCCTGTAAGTAGAGACGTCTATACTCATCAGTCACTGAATGGTTACAAATGTATTTTTGTCTCATCCTTAATTCTGATCGAATTATATCGAGGTAATAAAAACGGCAAACTACTGACCACTGAGTAGGCTTTTTTTCTAATGACGAAAACGTCTAAACTAAAGTGTCACTCACTTCTCTCAACTTCCATTCGTTTTAACTGTTACTTTTTTATGATATAATTCGATCACTAAATTGTTAAGAGATTTTAGAATCTATAAAATAGCATAGCAATTATTTCATTTTAAGCTATGCTAACGCTTATATATGATCATGACATTTTTGCGAGAATATGAGATTACACAAATTCTCCCAGCTTTTCGGAATAAATATTGGTCATCTTATTTTTTTGTAGTTTTAAGTAAATTCAGCATTAGGTAGGAAGTTAATAATAAATAAATTTTTTGTTATATTTCAATGAGCAGTAAACTGTATTTCCAACGTTTCGTGACTTAATGTAGGCCACTTAATCGGAGTACGGAGATGGGTTATATTAAGTCACAAAACGTCAGAAATGCGTTTTTATACTCATTGGGGTATCACAAAAAATTATTTATTATTGGTTACTTAGTTTACATATTCACTTTTCACTTGCTTGATACGCAAAATATCTTCTAAACAAAGTAATATAATGACTACCAAATATGGAAATCAGTAAAAACAGTTGTTTTAAGATTACTTATCGATAACTTAAATGGTTTTTTACGTTTCATTCTGAATTTATTTTGTTTATTTTTAGTGAAAGATGGAGCGAACATCTCGCTCGTTATTCCCCACAGTTTGCCTCTAAATCTGTTAATAAACGCCAAACATGGCACGCCGAAGCTAACATAGTAACGCCAAGCGTGGTAAGTTTCATCAACTAGCATTATATATTAATTGTTCAGCTAAATGAATTTAAGATCCTTGAGCTTCTAAATAAATAACTTTATATTAAGAAAACTATGGTTTGATTACGAACTTGGTAATCTTTGAACACAACACTTCTACAATTCCACCTCTATCTGTTGTAACGTGTGGACTGCAGATTAGATTCGCAGCGTATTTATCGATTGATCCAGTGACACGTAATGAACGGCCTAGGGTTCTGATTGGCCCCGCTTCCCTGTCTAGCCCAGACAGTTGAGTCCAGCACGCAAGTCTTAGCCTCTAAGATATGAATCATTATATTTCAGACATACTCTATTTATATACCAACCAACCAGACCACATCGTACCGTAAAATAGAAAACAACATTTGTACAATATTTGACAGGTGAAATGAATATCGACCAATGGAAATGTCCATTTAACGTCCAAGGACACCATTAGACTTAACACGACAATTATTGGTATATTCCTCTGCATCCCTAACACTATCGGCCAGTAATCTAGGATATTTACCATTCTACCCATCGATATCTCTCTTAGTCTCTGGTTAAAAACTAGATTAAATTACTAATAAGCTTCAGAGCACTTACGCCAATTTTTAACTTGATTCCATAACTACCGGGACTTATTAAATTCTATATTTTTAAAGCTAAACATTTAACTTACACTATATTTTATACTGGACAAGATTGAAAGATTATGAATTAAACCCAAATCTTCTAACACATATCCATCATATATGTGTATACTGTTGATAATACATTTGCAACTTCAGACATATCATGAATTCTCAGAATACCAATAAAATATAATAATTCAGCATTTTATTCTTGTGAAATAAAACGGCCACTTTACCAACGTTATACCAATAAGTAATTGTTTATGTATTAAGAAAAAAATAATAAAGCTTGAGAATTTCTTTTCTACAAACGTTTTTTTTAGAATATGTAACCAACGGTAGAAAATTATTGGCAATAATAATAATAATAATAATAATAATAATAATTATTATTATTATTATTATTATTATTATTATTATAAACAGAAGAAAATTGATTGATCGTATTCAACATCTCAGAAATATAAATCATAGTAGTAACAGTAATGATGATTATAATTATAATTTAAAATATGGAATTCAGTTTATTCACTATTCACATAAATAAATAAATAAGAATTTGTCAAAAAGACACTAATCATGTAAAGTTTGCATTGATTTCATGATACCTTATTTTTCATTATGATCATATTAATACTATTAATAACATTTAACTATCTAGTAATAGTAAATGATAGAATGTTTAGTAATATGTGTATCAGGATCTATAACTTAATTGTGGTTTAAATAAGAATAAATACTATCGACAAATATAATATGAAAAATACTTTACTTCTTTGTTTTAGCTGATTTTACTGATGAACCACCTAATTCATGAATACTATATAAAAACTAATCAATTTCTTAAAATTACCTGAACCACTTTTCATTTGAGTCAGCTACGGATTGTGATATAAACGATTGCGGACTACTCTACTAAATGAAAATGGATGAACAGTGATTTATAGAGTTTCCGTGCACTTAGAACCACATTTCTGAATGTATTTACATTCTTAGTAAATAAACGTATTCAACTATCGTGATCAGATCAAATCAGCTTACTATTCAGCGTGAATACATAGAAAAGATTTGTAAAGCCTCAGTATGATTAACTAGACGTATTTTGATGGCACTACTGTTTAATTTCCAACATTCTGAACTGTCCAAATCAATATCATCTATCCTGTTTTATGTTTAGTGCTAATTATTAGCAATTCACAATAATATTTGTTTCTAATTAACCCATTAAGTCACTATTGTTCAATGAGCTTAATACCATCTCATCCCTTAAAATTTGAACTTGATAATTCTATTAGTAATTATCAATTTTGTCATAATATAAATGAATATATATGAATCATTTGGTCGATATTTCTTCAAAACATTTCCTCTATTCACACAATCTCAAGTTACGCATAATACATGCACTCCACATTCTGACTTCCATATGACATCCAGTAATAATAAATTGGTTTTTTTCATTAAACTTTTACCAACAGACTTATAATTTTTAATTTCTCTCTAAATATTCAATCGAACTAAACATGGTTACTACTTCGAGGGACTTCAAAAAACTAAATGAACAACTTAATTCTCTGATGATGGAGATGCAGAAGAATTTCATAATTATACTAAAACGACTCAAAAAACAAACAAATTGATCCATTTCTCATGAAACCAATTCCTAGAAAATAAACTGAATTAACTTTCATCTGCTAAGTAATTGATTATACTAAAAGAGGAGACTGAAGCCGTTGTTCATAATATACACGAAGTATTCAACTAAGATCATTCAACTGTTCACAAATCATTAGTCAGTAATTAGAATAACAATGACGAAATAATCAACATCATTCTATCGTTAATTCAGCATTTCTCAGTCATTTCATTTCATTTACATTATAGAATTTGTTTTACAAAATAACGTGTAATTTATGGTCGATTTCTTTTCTTTTCTCTTGTCGTAATTATATCCTTTTTTATAGGGAGATGTTGAGATAAAAGTAGTAAGTTATATTCCATTTTAAATATATTATTGTTTTCTATATGAGTTAATTCATACTATTTTTCTTGAACAAATCATATCAATTATATCATTAAATAAATAAGAATGGTGGCATTGTTTTGTAAGTTAATTATTGTTTTATTTTGTATACACTTGAAATGTCTATGAGCACATTAAAAACGACTCTATTTATAAGTCATTAACAAGAAAACTTGAAAAGGGGTTTCTTTTTTTTTGTTGCTAGATTATGTCGTTAAAATTTAGGATCAAAGGTATCTTTATTGATTGACATGTTTAGGGAAATTAACTCGAAATTATTAAAGGACAAAATAAACTTATGATTATCAATATTATAATATAATTCCCTTTATGAGTCATCTTTTGATATTCTGATGAAGTTTTCAATGAATAAGGGTTTTTTTCAAGGTAAATACATATTGAAGGTTTTATTTATTCTTAAGGATGTTAATCTTCACAAGTTCAACAAGACATTATCATTAATTATTGAAAAAGTGCTTATTCTTAACGTTTCTCAAACTCTTTGACTTGATTCAAGTTGGTCGTCTTAGAATATTACACCAGTTTATTCTTCCAGATTTAGTAAAATGACAGTTCTACGATTTCAACGTATTCACTGAATAGAATAAAACACCACTTAGATGAAAACTGGAACGTTTTTGACCGATTTTATGCTTTTCAGGGAGCAGTAAGCAAACCTTTATACTCGTAGTATTAAAACGTTCAGATCATGTCGTTATCAAATAGTATGGCTATTGTTCTCCGTAGAATCGCGAATCCTCACTACATTATTTCGAAAATGTAGTGAAAAGATGAAGTTGGTCTAAAATATACGGTATATTTGTTCATATCATTTGGAAAACGTTGATCACTATTTAATTAAGTAATTGGACAAAGTTGTTAAAGATAAAACGATATGAAATACGATACTTTCACTTGAACATAGTCAAAATAATAGAATGTTTATGACTTTCAAGATTCTTTAACTTTCATTTTCTTCAAACTATACATTAAAGTAAATTCACAAAACTTTGAGCTGTAGTAACTAAAAATGACTAGCCTATCTTAAGCTAATACTCCTTCGTTATCCAAATGTCTTGGTAATCAGTGCCATTTTTATGCCCAAGTACTTGTAAAGTTTAGCTGTATGTATTATATATTACCAACTTATTATAGACAGAATTATATTGTCGAAAAATATCACTCTTCTCATTAATTTTATGGGCTAAACATGAAAGTCTGTATTATCTGTAAGGTTTGCATTGCATTTAATTTCTAACCATTTTCAATAATATAATTTAAAGTCGATATAAATTTAAATATATTGTTTCTTCTCAGACACAAACAATCTCACCACGCCATTCTCCTATTCCTTCTGAACGAGCCAGAACTCCTTCACCCGTGCGTCAAATTGGTAAGTGAAGGTAATCACTTCTAAATAAAACTCTAAAAGTGAAATCAAGTCTAATAATCATTATGTGTAGTGTTTTAATCTTCATATGTTATGTTTCATTTGAAGAATGTATATGATCACCGGGAAACTTTAAGTAGATCAACTGTTAATGCCCATATAAATAAATTGAATAGATGTCAGATAGTTTTTTTTTTTAATTTCTCTTCCACTTAAATTTTAAGATGAAATAACTTTCATCAAAAATTGTCCAATCAATTTATTTGAAACTTGAATACCATACGTTATAACCTAATGCATCACTAATATACTACTTGGTACACAGAATAAATATCACAAAGCCCATGAAATGTAGAAATTAACTTTTATCGAAGATTTATTATTAATTATACAGTATTTTAAATTACAGTAACTGAAATATGGAAACTCGCTTGAATTGACTTTAGATTTTTCTCGAGAAGATAATGCTATATCGAGATCGAAGTAAACATAATTCTAATACCTGTTCTTCTTAGCGATCTTTCTGCTTATTTACGTACGCTTTCTGACTACATCGAAACTCAATTGTGATCAAAGTATAGAATCACTGATAGATTTTTCCGGAGCCTGTAACTAATTTGGTTTAGATTCCGGATCATTTCTACTCTGAAATACATTGATCTCCATGTAGTAGTGTAGTGAGTTGAGATCTGGCAGCAGTATTCAGTATATAATTTGTCACCACGAGTGTGTTTTCTTATGTAGTGTGATTGTTTGATTTTAATCGAGTTATTCTAAATGCCTATAATTTATAGTGTTTGTAAGATTAAACCGGTTACTTTTTCTAGGCACGGAAACCGTACCTATGGACAATGTGAATACAGCAGTATTAAATCTTACTAATGGTAATCCAACTATTTCGTATTTTTGGTTATTATTATTATTGTTATCAACAAACAAGCAAAAGAGATTATGTATGCTTTTACATATATTTGCACTTTTCTTGTAAGATTTTATATGAGCTCTATAGCATTTTGTCTTAATCAGTTCCATATACTTAACACCACACCTATCATCTTTCTTCGTAGTTACAGTGGAAAAATCTCCAGAACAAAGGGTGAAGTCAGTAGATCAACGTAGTAGCCACCCTCAGCGTCGTTGGGATTCTGAAGAAAAGTAAGTACACAATTATATATGTTTCAATCATTTATTTGTTCACGTGATATATTCTCAACTTATTTTATGTTGCTAACATAAATGATAAATAAGTTATGTTTAAAACTTTTGATCTTCCTAATTTGAAAGTACTTTCTCCATTATATTTCCATGATCAGATGTTTTTGTATACTTTATTACTATGACTATGAGTAAATTAATTCTAACTGACTCAGTTGCAGTATACTAGTATATATATGTATACTAATATACTACTGACATATATATCAAAGAAACATAGGAGTTATGTTATAACTTGTGAACTTATGTGCCCTGTATATTGGATAACGCAACGATACCGCCAATCAGAGAGTAGCGAATTATAGACCGAACCAGTGACATATAAAACACGTGCGAGCAGCCTAGAGTCCTGCTTCCCGCCTAGCCCAGCCAGTTGAGTCCCGAACACCAATCTCAGCCTCTGCAATATGAATCATTTATTTCAAACATACAGGGTTTATATACCAATCAAACAGAGCACAACGTACCGTAAAATAGAAAATAACATTTGTACAATATTTGACCAAAAGTGACTGTGAATGAGGGAGATAGTAATCAATAGACAGGGCATAACTCAAGAATGGTAAGTCGTATAATACTAGTCTATTAGTCAAATAAAAGCTTATAATAAGAGCGATATGAATATGAACAGTTTAGTTGCATAACAATTATACGATAAAAATATACTGATAGTATTGTTCCATAAATGGATCCCAATAATTACCATTCATTATTCTTATCGGGATATAACACCCTCCTTTTTGAAGATTCGGATTTTAAATTTTCCGAATTTATCCTCCCCCACGGAACAGTGTTGGATCCTCATATTCCCAAGTTACAATTAATTTGACTTTATTTAAAACATATTTGTCACACTGAACAGAGAATTTACTAAAAGTGGTTAAATGGTGCGGACCAACGACGCTTGATATGAGGTCATCAAAGTTTGATTCTTCTGAAACATTGTCATCGAATTTCTTGAAAATCTCATTAGTAGGTAGTCGATCACTAGAATAATCAGAATCTATCAAAATTTTATTAGGTTCTTGATTATCGTTTGATGCATCCGACAAATTTTTCTCATTTTTGCAAGAAATTTGATCAAAAGCATAGGAGTCATTAAGATAACTCATATTTGATAAAACAACTAGAGAACTCCAATAAGTAGATTCATCATAAAATTTTGGTCTGGAATGATGAGCTCCATTTGATGCAACGGTCTTTATTATGCCGCTTGATTCATTTTCTGTCTCTTTGCGGGCGGCTACTGCAATAATTTCATGAGCATTTAATAAGACGTCGTCTGTCTGTGAGCTGGACAAGTCAGTGTTTGTACATGGTGTTTCGGGGGCAATGGGATTTAAACCCACGACAGGGCATGTCTGTGAAATGGATATTTCTGGACCACTGGGCGGATCATGAATGACTGCTACTGCTTCGCTTACATCACTGCTCGTCAAGGATTCATAGAGGCCCTTATCGACACATCCATACGTCCTGGAGTCATTTTCCAGCTCGGTATGTAAATTAGAAATTAATTTATCAACTTCTGTTACATCTCCAAAACATGGATGATTTAGCAGCCGTGTGCGTAAATTGTCTAAAACATTCAACTGGGTATTTTTGAAACGCTGCTGTTGTCGCTCAAATAACAACTGTAATTGATCGGAAGAGATAGTCATTTTCTGAATCAGCACGGTAATGAGAAATACTTTATGATTAATTAACAACCAATGTCTTCCAAGAACACCGATGACCAATCTGGATGCTCATTGCTCGAAATAATTAGACTGAATTTCGTCCAATTACAGGCTGACGTTGAAGATTGAGGGTTCAAAATTTGTTTCCTACCCCGTCGCTAATTGTTATAGCTTGTGAACCTGTGTGCCCTGTATATTGAATAACGCAACGACACCGCCAATCAGAGAGTAGCGAATTATAGACCGAACCAGTGACATATAAAACACGTGCGAGCAGCCTAGAGTCCTGCTTCCCGCCTAGCCCAGCCAGTTGAGTCCCGAACACCAATCTCAGCCTCTGCAATATGAATCATTTATTTCAAACATACAGGGTTTATATACCAATCAAACAGAGCACAACGTACCGTAAAATAGAAAATAACATTTGTACAATATTTGACCAAAAGTGACTGTGAATGAGGGAGATAGTAATCAATAGACAGGGCATAACTCAAGAATGGTAAGTCGTATAATACTAGTCTATTAGTCAAATAAAAGCTTATAATAAGAGCGATATGAATATGAACAGTTTAGTTGCATAACAATTATACGATAAAAATATACTGATAGTATTGTTCCATAAATGGATCCCAATAATTACCATTCATTATTCTTATCGGGATATAACACCCTCCTTTTGAAGATTCGGATTTTAAATTTTCCGAATTTATCCTCCCCCACGGAACAGTGTTGGATCCTCATATTCCCAAGTTACAATTAATTTGACTTTATTTAAAACATATTTGTCACACTGAACAGAGAATTTACTAAAAGTGGTTAAATGGTGCGAACCAACGACGCTTGATATGAGGTCATCAAAGTTTGATTCTTCTGAAACATTGTCATCGAATTTCTTGAAAATCTCATTAGTAGGTAGTCGATCACTAGAATAATCAGAATCTATCAAAATTTTATTAGGTTCTTGATTATCGTTTGATGCATCCGACAAATTCTTCTCATTTTTGCAAGAAATTTGATCAAAAGCATAGGAGTCATTAAGATAACTCATATTTGATAAAACAACTAGAGAACTCCAATAAGTAGATTCATCATAAAATTTTGGTCTGGAATGATGAGCTCCATTTGATGCAACGGTCTTTATTATGCCGCTTGATTCATTTTCTGTCTCTTCGCGGGCGGCTACTGCAATAATTTCATGAGCATTTAATAAGACGTCGTCTGTCTGTGAGCTGGACAAGTCAGTGTTTGTACATGGTGTTTCGGGGGCAATGGGATTTAAACCCACGACAGGGCATGTCTGTGAAATGGATATTTCTGGACCACTGGGCGGATCATGAATGACTGCTACTGCTTCGCTTACATCACTGCTCGTCAAGGATTCATAGAGGCCCTTATCGACACATCCATACGTCCTGGAGTCATTTTCCAGCTCGGTATGTAAATTAGAAATTAATTTATCAACTTCTGTTACATCTCCAAAACATGGATGATTTAGCAGCCGTGTGCGTAAATTGTCTAAAACATTCAACTGGGTATTTTTGAAACGCTGCTGTTGTCGCTCAAATAACAACTGTAATTGATCGGAAGAGATAGTCATTTTCTGAATCAGCACGGTAATGAGAAATACTTTATGATTAATTAACAACCAATGTCTTCCAAGAACACCGATGACCAATCTGGATGCTCATTGCTCGAAATAATTAGACTGAATTTCGTCCAATTACAGGCTGACGTTGAAGATTGAGGGTTCAAAATTTGTTTCCTACCCCGTCGCTAATTGTTATAGCTTGTGAACCTGTGTGCCCTGTATATTGAATAACGCAACGACACCGCCAATCAGAGAGTAGCGAATTATAGACCGAACCAGTGACATATAAAACACGTGCGAGCAGCCTAGAGTCCTGCTTCCCGCCTAGCCCAGCCAGTTGAGTCCCGAACACCAATCTCAGCCTCTGCAATATGAATCATTTATTTCAAACATACAGGGTTTATATACCAATCAAACAGAGCACAACGTACCGTAAAATAGAAAATAACATTTGTACAATATTTGACCAAAAGTGACTGTGAATGAGGGAGATAGTAATCAATAGACAGGGCATAACTCAAGAATGGTAAGTCGTATAATACTAGTCTATTAGTCAAATAAAAGCTTATAATAAGAGCGATATGAATATGAACAGTTTAGTTGCATAACAATTATACGATAAAAATATACTGATAGTATTGTTCCATAAATGGATCCCAATAATTACCATTCATTATTCTTATCGGGATATAACACCCTCCTTTTTGAAGATTCGGATTTTAAATTTTCCGAATTTATCCTCCCCCACGGAACAGTGTTGGATCCTCATATTCCCAAGTTACAATTAATTTGACTTTATTTAAAACATATTTGTCACACTGAACAGAGAATTTACTAAAAGTGGTTAAATGGTGCGGACCAACGACGCTTGATATGAGGTCATCAAAGTTTGATTCTTCTGAAACATTGTCATCGAATTTCTTGAAAATCTCATTAGTAGGTAGTCGATCACTAGAATAATCAGAATCTATCAAAATTTTATTAGGTTCTTGATTATCGTTTGATGCATCCGACAAATTCTTCTCATTTTTGCAAGAAATTTGATCAAAAGCATAGGAGTCATTAAGATAACTCATATTTGATAAAACAACTAGAGAACTCCAATAAGTAGATTCATCATAAAATTTTGGTCTGGAATGATGAGCTCCATTTGATGCAACGGTCTTTATTATGCCGCTTGATTCATTTTCTGTCTCTTCGCGGGCGGCTACTGCAATAATTTCATGAGCATTTAATAAGACGTCGTCTGTCTGTGAGCTGGACAAGTCAGTGTTTGTACATGGTGTTTCGGGGGCAATGGGATTTAAACCCACGACAGGGCATGTCTGTGAAATGGATATTTCTGGACCACTGGGCGGATCATGAATGACTGCTACTGCTTCGCTTACATCACTGCTCGTCAAGGATTCATAGAGGCCCTTATCGACACATCCATACGTCCTGGAGTCATTTTCCAGCTCGGTATGTAAATTAGAAATTAATTTATCAACTTCTGTTACATCTCCAAAACATGGATGATTTAGCAGCCGTGTGCGTAAATTGTCTAAAACATTCAACTGGGTATTTTTGAAACGCTGCTGTTGTCGCTCAAATAACAACTGTAATTGATCGGAAGAGATAGTCATTTTCTGAATCAGCACGGTAATGAGAAATACTTTATGATTAATTAACAACCAATGTCTTCCAAGAACACCGATGACCAATCTGGATGCTCATTGCTCGAAATAATTAGACTGAATTTCGTCCAATTACAGGCTGACGTTGAAGATTGAGGGTTCAAAATTTGTTTCCTACCCCGTCGCTAATTGTTATAGCTTGTGAACCTGTGTGCCCTGTATATTGAATAACGCAACGACACCGCCAATCAGAGAGTAGCGAATTATCGATCGAACCAGTGACATATAAAACACGTGCGAGCAGCCTAGAGTCCTGCTTCCCGCCTAGCCCAGCCAGTTGAGTCCCGAACACCAATCTCAGCCTCTGCAATATGAATCATTTATTTCAAACATACAGGGTTTATATACCAATCAAACAGAGCACAACGTACCGTAAAATAGAAAATAACATTTGTACAATATTTGACCAAAAGTGACTGTGAATGAGGGAGATAGTAATCAATAGACAGGGCATAACTCAAGAATGGTAAGTCGTATAATACTAGTCTATTAGTCAAATAAAAGCTTATAATAAGAGCGATATGAATATGAACAGTTTAGTTGCATAACAATTATACGATAAAAATATACTGATAGTATTGTTCCATAAATGGATCCCAATAATTACCATTCATTATTCTTATCGGGATATAACACCCTCCTTTTTGAAGATTCGGATTTTAAATTTTCCGAATTTATCCTCCCCCACGGAACAGTGTTGGATCCTCATATTCCCAAGTTACAATTAATCTGACTTTATTTAAAACATATTTGTCACACTGAACAGAGAATTTACTAAAAGTGGTTAAATGGTGCGGACCAACGACGCTTGATATGAGGTCATCAAAGTTTGATTCTTCTGAAACATTGTCATCGAATTTCTTGAAAATCTCATTAGTAGGTAGTCGATCACTAGAATAATCAGAATCTATCAAAATTTTATTAGGTTCTTGATTATCGTTTGATGCATCCGACAAATTCTTCTCATTTTTGCAAGAAATTTGATCAAAAGCATAGGAGTCATTAAGATAACTCATATTTGATAAAACAACTAGAGAACTCCAATAAGTAGATTCATCATAAAATTTTGGTCTGGAATGATGAGCTCCATTTGATGCAACGGTCTTTATTATGCCGCTTGATTCATTTTCTGTCTCTTCGCGGGCGGCTACTGCAATAATTTCATGAGCATTTAATAAGACGTCGTCTGTCTGTGAGCTGGACAAGTCAGTGTTTGTACATGGTGTTTCGGGGGCAATGGGATTTAAACCCACGACAGGGCATGTCTGTGAAATGGATATTTCTGGACCACTGGGCGGATCATGAATGACTGCTACTGCTTCGCTTACATCACTGCTCGTCAAGGATTCATAGAGGCCCTTATCGACACATCCATACGTCCTGGAGTCATTTTCCAGCTCGGTATGTAAATTAGAAATTAATTTATCAACTTCTGTTACATCTCCAAAACATGGATGATTTAGCAGCCGTGTGCGTAAATTGTCTAAAACATTCAACTGGGTATTTTTGAAACGCTGCTGTTGTCGCTCAAATAACAACTGTAATTGATCGGAAGAGATAGTCATTTTCTGAATCAGCACGGTAATGAGAAATACTTTATGATTAATTAACAACCAATGTCTTCCAAGAACACCGATGACCAATCTGGATGCTCATTGCTCGAAATAATTAGACTGAATTTCGTCCAATTACAGGCTGACGTTGAAGATTGAGGGTTCAAAATTTGTTTCCTACCCCGTCGCTAATTGTTATAGCTTGTGAACCTGTGTGCCCTGTATATTGAATAACGCAACGACACCGCCAATCAGAGAGTAGCGAATTATCGATCGAACCAGTGACGCATAAAACACGTGCGAGCAAGTTAGTTGGTGTTAATTTGAGGAAACACTTGAAATCAGAAATTTGTTGTCAATTACTTTGTATTAATTTACAACTTACCAATTACTGTAAACTATTGTTGTATTAAAAATGACTCAATTCATTAAATAGTAATGCATCTTATGGCTGTAGTCACCGTTAACATGATTTATGTCAAATGTATAATAAGTCGTATGCACAAGTAAGTTTCATGTGTCATATGTACCAATAATGAACTTCTTCGAGTTATTGCTTCACGATTAGCATGACTGCGTAGTATTGTTATGATATCAAATATCTGATCCATATAAATTGTTACGCTAAACTCTGTCAGAATTAATTCAGTAATTTTGTTATCTATGCTTTTAGATGGTGTGTTGTAAATGTACTACATGTAGGTGCAAAACCTCAAGAGCTAACTGTACAACCAGGCGATGTTCTACAAGTAAGCCATTATTTTAAATACGGAACCACTGTTTTTTGACTTACTTTTAAAGAGCTAGTAATAATTAATGCTTAGTGTAATATTTATTCTGTCTGAGTTGTTATATTTGCCTCCATTATATTTTTTCATTTGTCCTACGGATTAGTATTTTTCCAGTGTGTAAAGAATTCCGCATGAAATTGATTTTCATTATAAGAAAGGTTTTACTGTACTCTATATATTCATAGTTATGTTTCTTAACTCAAATCTATATTACACTGCAATAAAATACTCCTCACTAAGTACAACGAAACTTTACCAACATAATAAGAAACCTCTGGAAGTATGAAAAAGTAATTTTCAATCAGCTTACATGATATGGTACATCAAGAACCATGGCATTATGTACTAATAGTGATCAGTATCAAATCAGTGTTTGAATAACCTCCACTTTCATATTATAACATTTTTATTACATAATTAGATACATTTTACTAAATATTTCTTACTGGTTTACAAAATATGATGCTACAATTAATCAAATGTTAAATGTGCAACGGTAACTAGGTGTTAATTTGAAATAGTTGATATTCTTAGCAGAAGCATGTTGTATTTAACTTTCTGACCGGCACTTGATTTTTATGTCTTCATATTTTTATAATTAAGTTTAGTGAACATGCATCAATAATCTTTTTCTTCACTTTAATGAAATCTTTTCAAAATAAAAGTGGTGTTATTATCTCCATAGTTTATGACAGAAGTCATTATCAGACTGGTAGAAGTTAGCTAATATATGAAATTCAGTTTTACATAAAGAAAATCCTGTAGCTGGTATTAACTCTTCACCATAAACTTTTTTTAACACAAACATGGATAACTACTCTTTACTTGTGAATTTTTGAGTTTTTAGATTAAGGCAAAATTGTAATCTCGAGGCAGTAAATAAACTCATATCCTGCCAATTACATACTTAAATGATTCAGTGTATACAAGAGTAACTTATTTTAAGATGACTCTATAACAAGGACAACATATCATAGGTTGGTGGACAATGTTTCCTGATATCTGAAGTTTCGTAATATTCGATTCAAGGCCACATGCTTAAATTAATCATTTATATATACCTTTTTCGAACCAAATAAAATTGAGATGAGTTATGTAAATTCAGATCACATCTGATGGCAAAATATTAAAACAGTCTATGTTAAATTACGTAGCATACTAGCAATCTTCTGATGTTTTTCTTATATTCACAAACTCTACATACTCTTCACTACATATTTTGTTAATAGTATCCAGTTGATCATTTCATAGAATGCTTACAGTTGTGTGGGTTTGATACTATGTAGTATTGAACTAATGATAATGTCTAGTTTGACTGTAGTTACTATTTTTAATATAAGAAAAATACGAACTCATAAAGCAGTTGGTTGAAGGCATTCACATTTTGAGAAGAAAATGCTTCAGATCATAAATATAAGTCTTCCAATTCATTTTCAAGTCTAATGAAATATTCCATAATTGTTTCTTCACTTGTTGGTTTAGATTCTAAATAGCAGTAAAGGTGATTGGTGGTTATTACAAAATGATGCAGGAGAATCTGGTGAAGTACCTGCTTGGAAATTAAAAGCTTATAATTATCGACCGGATCATCCAACTACAGCTGGACTAAAGAAAACTCCATCGATGAATAATTTATTCAGTAGAAAATCTACTGAAACATTTGGAAATGATAATGATAGTGTTAGTTTGGAAAATCATTCCAATTTCCAGTCACAAAGAAATAATTCACATGCACCCAAAAGTATACTACGTGATAAGTCTCCAACTAGGCAAACAGATACTTCTGTTTTAAATTTAAGTATACCTAATTCACCTACAGGACAAAATTCTAACAATGATAATAGAATTATGAATGATAATTTTAATACCAATGCTAATAATAACGTTATGTATATAACACCATCACAACTTCAAGAAGCAATCAAAATTAATAGTAATTTGCCAATGATATTAATTCCAGTGCCTAGTTTATATAGTAATAATTCCGATATGTCAGCGATTAATTGGTCTAATCTAATTAACCCAAATACAAATGGTGCTGAGTTAGCGAGAACTCCCAATCCTGGTGCATTAGGACCAGGCTGGAAACCAGCTCCAATATTGAGTACTTCAGCAAGTAAATTTCCCTATTATTGATTGTATACATTCATTATATTGCAAATTTCATTGGGTTTTTATTATTTTAGCATATTTGACAGGACATTTTTCCGTTTTCTGTACGTACTTAATGTCAATTAAAATTTGTCAGTTCCTATGAAAATGTCTAGTTGACGATACTCCATTGGGAAAGATCATTAAGGTTTCCAAACTTACAATATTTAATCAGAAAATGATATTATAATTCATCTGAAATTTAGGGCACGTTTAAAGAGCTTTAAATTAAACAGCTTACAGAATTTAATTGAATTATGAATATGGTTTTCGGTGCTGTAGTATCAAACTATCGACCACCTAAAGTATATAATTAGATTATTTATCGTGTTAATAGACATTTCCCAAATAGATTAGTACATCTCTCAGCTGAATAAACTGTCAAGTTTATGCATAAAAACAATGATGTAATGTTCTTATACTAGTTTTTAAGCAATGATTGTAAACTTTTCATTCTAATAAAAAGGTAGAATCTCACAAATCTGAATCATTTCATAATTTTGAACAAAGCAAGGATAAATAGTATGATTTGGAAATAGATATAAGTGTATGCATTTTTATGGTTTCTCTCTGACTGCAAACTGTCTAGAATTACGAATAATTATGGGGTTTAAAAAAGATTAGTGATATCCTCTAGTTTAGGTGGTTGAAATGAAAAACTACAATGAAATAACAGGCCAGAAAATATGACACAGACGACATTCCACATTATTATTAAGATGCATGCACAGTTATATACGGAAGTATTAACCAAATAAAATGAAAACATGTAAAGTAGTAGATAATAATACTAAAACTGGGAACAAATGATTACACAATCGACCGACATACTTAAAATAAAATCAGCTCATTGATTTATTTCGATAATGTAATAAGAAAACGAAGATTATCAAAACTATGTGATATATTAGCGCAATACATTTATGCAACATTTTTACAAAAGCTGTTCCCTAAAATATAACTGAATATCGTTCTGGTTTCTAACACAAGTAACACCAAGTAAATAGGACATTTTGTGTTCCAGTGCATTAACAATATACAATAATGTTAATATTCCTTTAAGATATCTTTAAGATATAACAAATGTTATTGTGGGTTGAGAACAAAAATTGATGTAAGCACTTCTCTCTATTCATAAAACTTGAATTATTTCACTATCATCAATACTAGTATAAATATTCTGAAATTTTTGTCTACATTACATGTCAAAATCCATGTAATTATACATCTGACTGTTTATAATGTTCAGTTTTAATTTCATATTTAGTGATATCTTTTCATGCTTTCATCAATTGTTTCGTTTTCTTTTTTAACTTTTAACCTAACCATAATCATTGTTATCACCATGTGATGTATTCATTGGTAAATGAAGCTGAAGGTTAGTTATTTGCTTATATTATTCATAATTAACTAATTAAAAGGATAAATCATTAAATGTTAGTATTGACAGTTGAACCGTTTAACTAATTTCTTTTGTGTGAAAATTCGTTTTCCTGAATACTAGCAATAATGTTTTCCTACACATTGTAATTTCTATGCAAATCAGTTTTATACAGCATTAAAATAATGTTGGAATTTTAAATTTTCTCTTAAATAAAAATGTAGTTATATTCTCAATTTTCAAATCCACAAGTTCGTACAAAAATCTCCGACTTTTCTGAGCTACTAATCGAAGTCATATAGAAACATATAAGTTTTTTGATAGACCTTACTAAGTTAATTGACCACAGACTTTAGGTTTCATGGGTCAAAATCGATCGATTTGGATAAAATGATGGTATAATTTGGCGTTTTTCCTGTTAGGGTACAAACTCAAAATGTTAATCTATCATTTTATAACCTGAAACTTTCGTGGAAACTGTAAAATATCTGATTATTTACGAAGAAAATGAGTATAGTGTGTAGCAGCTATCATTGTTTGATTCATTATCTGAAGCTCCTTCATTGAGTTCACACATGCCCCGAAAAATGGATTTCTGTTAATTCTAACTTTATTTGTTATATTTCAAGATACTTAATGAAATCATATAGAACTAGCTCATCAGAAACTGAAAATATTATAATCTCAATCTTTTGATAATTTTGTTAAAGATAGAATACATATAGGAGGATTCAAAATAAACTGATAGGCTTTATGATACTTTGAACGAATTATTATTTAGTATATATCCTTTATCAATAGCTTTTTAGGAAAGAAACTACCATAGAAAGCAAGATTTAAATTTACATAGATGAAAATAATTTTTTGGGCAATAAATCGTTTTGTTTAGTTTGCATACATATATATCTATATAATAACGTTGTATCATGAAATAGTTTATGTATCACACAACTGCACAATGTTAGATGTCATAATAACACAAACAGTACAAATTATTACTACTTTAAAAAAGGCTAATGTAGTCATCGACTTTTGCGTACAGAACTTATCATACAATTATTCACTGACACGTTTTGCAGACCAAAGACTTAATTCTTGTTAGCTGCAACTTTAAAAGATTAAGCAAGCACTCATTGGTTCATACATCTTAGATCATCAGTACCTGACGTAAAATATTTCGAAGTACTATCTTCTATCTCATATATTTGAAAAATAATTTTAGCATACAGGAAAAAATATTTATTCATCTGAATAGAACAAACAACATGAAAAGTCTTTATTCGATATTTGGGGATGCTCTGGCTCTGAAAATAAGTTTCTTGCAGAGTAACTACTATATATTAAGAATTGGAGTTGATCAATGGTACACATGACTTTCTGATTACACATTTTATAAAAGTTATTTCTAGAGTTTGACATCAAAACACCACCTTAACAATTAATTATTAATGTAGAAAGCTTTCTAAAAGTGATAATGTTAGTCAACAAAGTATCGAGAATTCTAAAGTAAAGAAAATCACCCTACCTATACACACCTCAGGACTTAATTTAGGACTTCAAACATTTCTCATTAGTCTCGCATATCTGCAGGTTCAAGATTGGAATATCCATGCATCTCTGATCTCTATTACTTGTTATCTTGTGCGATACCACACTCTTTAATTTCATATCAATTAATCAAGTAGATTTTGCGTGAAGCTTTTTTCTTTTCTAGTTTTTTTGCTCTACTATATTGAATATCATGCATCACATATGCAGTTTGAGCACAATAATACTAGTGAACATTTCACATTCATTCAAAGGAAAAAGGTTATTCTTTAGATAGATTGAAATGCATAATGTGTATATTTTTTGGTATAATAATACATCGATCGTTTAAAACATTCTAATGTAATAATAATACTTAATACACTTCTTACTTTTGATTCTCAGTTAGGAGTGTCGTACAATTCTTGCATAATTTAATGTATATCTATATGTATATCTGTGTGTATGCATTTGTTTGTGTTAGCTTTGGGCTACTCTCCATATCCTTTCAATTATCGTAAGTTCTATTTTGTGATATTAATTAACAGTAGATTGTAACTTGTTTATTATTTCTTTTGGTTATATTGCCTAATTATCCTTTTGTTGTACTAATTTTGATCTAACATAGTTTGTTATAACTGCTATATCGTATACTGATTTTTCTAACACTAAGTCATCAAATCTTAATTTCAGTTGTAGAAACATTTCATTTTCAGTTATATATATCACTCATGAGATGGAATAATTCTGAGAATTTGATTAATTGGAAAGATTAGTATCATGTGAGAAATAGTTTCTTACCTAGAAGGTTATGAAATTAACCGAAAACGTTTTCATTCTGTAAGATGGCAATGATATCTATTGTTAAATAGTCTAAAACTAGAAAAAAAGTAACTATTGTTTAGTGCTGTTGGATTGTAACCGTTTATCAACTGACAGTTTTTTTGAATAAATTTTTTTTTTAAAGTTTTGTTCTATTTCTTATTAATACACACATTGTTTCTACACACTATTCAAATGTCATCAAAATATATTTCTATTTCGTTGTCAAAACAAAAACATTTTATTACCTAACATTATTAATGACTAAACGATCTAAGTAATACGGATTATTGCAAGTTAGTTGATCAAATTTAACATGTTTATTTTTAAGCAAAAAAGAAGCAAGAACAGAATTGTACTTGAACAGTTATGAAAACTTTATTTCTGTTTAGATTAACCCTCATTTGAATACATGGATGATAATCGGCTCTATAAAAAAAATTTAGGTATTTGTTGTGAAGCATAAATATTCATATGGGAACTTTTTAGTTATTAAGTTTATTGAAAATTTAATATATCAGCCATAAAAATTTGAATTTCAATTCATTTTTGTATTGATTGTTTGTATGAATTAAAACTTCACCTCACTGCACAAGCTAGTGGCTATCTGCACTCACTAGCTAAGTGGATAACCAGATGACGTTAATAGGTTCGAGTCCCGGAGTGAATATCAAGTACATCCAGATGACGAGTCCCGGATAGGGTGAAATGCGCGTCCTGGATTCCACTGCTAGCCACCATCCGTCTTCGCCTGTTTAAATTTCAATGTTTATGTAATGTTTGTTTATCATTTCCTGTTAGGTTTTCGATAGGCTTAGTGACTAAAAATCTCCCATATAAGCATTTGTGCCTTAAATACCTAAATTTTTATTATGGAGCTGATTAGCATCCATATACTCAAATTTATAGTTAGTTATTCATGACCGGTAGTCAATCTTATGAAGGCTCTTATAGCTTTGTTATCACTGTTACCAGAATAACCAGATCTCATTCAACTTGATTACGCATTAAGCATTTATCACGAACCCAACTATTAATCTGCTTGTTGCTAATGATTATGGAATATCAAAATATATTATTATTACCCACAAAATCTATACTTAAAAATTATCATCATTCTATCGATTAGATGGGATCAGACCAGCAGTGGAATTCAGGATGTGATTTTTGTCCTATTTGGTACTCATCAACCGGATGTACCAACACGAACGTGCACCCTGAATCCTACTGCTAGTTAAACTCTTTCTATCTTATAAAAACTTGTTACTAATCGAAACTAATAATATAATAAATAGTTATTTTCATGTTCATAAAACAAAAAACTGATCCTTTTATATATTCATATAAAAGTCACTGAATTCAATTTAAAGTTAGTTTACATCCCCTAAACCACAATGTACGTATTTCAGAACTTTAAATACTTATTTTTAAAGCATATTAATTAAAACAAATATTCATTATAGCATAGACTAAACGAAATTTTCTTTAAATTTTATATGAAATAAAAATCATCCATTATATATATATACCAGTTTCGTGAATTGGTTAAAGTTAGACATTAACACTCGTTGTACGCCGGCTCTTTAGTCTGGATGTTAAGCATTTGTGCTCGAGACCGAAGGTCCTGGCTTCGATTCCTGTACGAAGGGCCATAGATGTGCACTGCTGAGGAGTCCCATACTAGGATGGAACAGCCGGCCAGTGCCTCCAGGTTTTCAATGGTGGTCCAACATTAGTCGATTCATGATCCCAATAATTTTATAGTTTTCACATCATACACAACCGTATTTAGCACATATTCAACTTCTTTCAATTTTATAATAAACCAAGCTTAATGATTAACATACTAAGCAAAAGCCAGATAACAACATTTCTAGTGAACGCTTTAATCGGTCGTTTTTCCTAAAATGATTACTATTATAATATCTCGTTAAAATATATTTATTACATTTCATTCAACAAATACATTGAAATATTTGAATTTGTCAATGATATTGTCTAATTTATCAATTAATTAGGTTAAAATAGTTCTATCACATCAAACTTTAGTGCTAATAATAATAATAATAATAATAATAATAATAATGCTTATCATCAAAGTTTACTTTTAAGTAGTCTAACGAAAAATCACCAATATCCTACTGTTTATTCACCCGCGTTGCTCATAAATTAAATATTTGTTACCGTTTCATTTAATTCATTATCACATTCGTTCTATGGTGTGAAATATAACTAATCGATTGGTGAAGAAATATTTCATTATTAAACGGCTCATGTTTGCTGATAATTAATTGTTATGAAAACTCAGTATTCATCGAGAATCTCCTACTTCACCTAAAATATATACTTACTTCGTCTTATGATGTGTTCTAGTATTGTATTATGGGTGTTAATATCGTTAGTTCACCCATTATTATGTATGTTATTCTGATTATAAAGTTTAGGTATAATTCAAATAAGATAAAAAGTCAAAAGAACGATTATGAAACTAGGAATGCTTCCCAATCAGCATTCGCTATTAATATGCGTAAAGTATCAGGTTTACAAGACATTATAATTAAGACGTTATCTGAAAATGCCCTTAAAAAGTATTTTCATGCATAATAGTAACAAGTTGCCCACTTCAAATATACCATATTTAAAAGACACCTGGAACTTAATCCTGAAAACATCAGTCCTTTTATTGATTTCAGAAATATGAAACTTAGTTCAAAGGAAAAAGTCAAAAATTTATGCGACCCTGATTTAAATAAATATGAAGAGTATACAGTATTCATTTCATAGAAACAAAGTGATGAGAAATTCAGAGAAATGATTCATAATGATGATGTACTTCAATAAAAACAGACATTTTATAGACATTGGTAGATATACGAATATTCGTCAAGATTAGAACGAATAGTTTGACAGTAATTGAGCGCCGAGTATAGAGAAGTCATTATATGTGAAAATTATATTTGAAATATTCTCAGCGATTGAAATTTAACTAATTCCAACGTTTCGTCCAGCTAACTTGTCTGGACTTCTTCAGGGTAATAATCAAAATCAAAATTATCAAAGAAATATATAGCTTTTAACAATCAGGATTATACTGTGTTAAACCAATCATATTTGGATGTTGATTTTTTGTAAAATAGGATAAAATGAGTCAGTTAACTACAAATCATGTGATGAATTCAACTACATGGAAATACTTAACTGAGTAACAAATCGTATGTGTGTGAGTGTGTAGGTATGTATGTATGTGTGAGAGATTGATATGAAGGAATAAATAAAGTTCAAGTTCAAGGATGAAAACTTGATAATGAAAGATCGATGTGCATGTCAAAACATAAATTGTATTGTTTAAAAACTCATTCAGTTCTTTCAATAATAATAACGATGCATGTGATATTAAAAACAGGTTTAAACAAGAGATAGGTTCCAAATTTACTTGTCAAACGAAATTTGCCAGGTAGTTGCCATTTGAATACCATCTTTTCGGTTCAGGCTGTTCTTGTTCGCCCATATATGCAGAGCTTCTGCTGTCAATCTTTCTTTATGGGTGTTAAAACCTTTCTGAAGTATTTTGGTCCCTTCAAAATTAATCTTGTGTCCTGTTTCTAACGCATGTAACGCTATCGCTGACTTATTTTCAAGTTTCTTTAAATCTACCGAGGATTTTGGAACATTTTTCAAGCATTGTTTGTGTTCCTTCAATCTTACATTTAATTGCCTGGATGTTTCTCCAACATAGGTAGCATTACAGTCATGACAGTGAATCTCATACACAATGTTCTGTTGTTCTTCCTTTGCTAACTTGTCCTTAACTTTCACCAATGTCGATCTTAATGTGTTATTTGCTCTAAAATACACTCTTATATCATGTTTGTTTAGAATCCGTTTGATTTCTTCTGATGTTTCACTCCGGTAAGGTATGACTACGGTGTACTTCCATTCTTTTCGTATACTTTCTAGTTTAGTTTTTCTTTCATTTTTAATAATCTTTTTTAAAAACCTTTTTGGGTAGTTGTTATCCCTAAGAGTTAAATTTCAATCGCTGAGAATATTTCAAATATAATTTTCACATATAATAACATTGGTAGATAGTTTTAGTTTACATTAAAAATGACCCATCTTAAAAAATAGAAGAGAAAATATCTATTTGTTACTAGTCTTCAAGTGTTAAATAGTTACAATCATTAACTTGAAATCAGCTCACATATAATCGAGCCAAATTATACTCAGATATTGTTTTCATTTAAGTGAACTTAAACAAAACTATTCTTGAATATATAACATAGAAAAATGATAAGTATACCAGTATTAAAACATTATTTCAGTGGAGAATATCAACAAATAGTGTTGAATTTAATTTACTTCAATGATCAGAAACAAACTAGGACGATATTCACTTGATCAGTAAACTGTGAATAACATTTTCTTGATGTTATTTGATAAAAACACTTTGAATATGTTACAATTTTAGCTCAAGATTACATTCCATACATGGAAAAACATTTAGAGAACTACTATTTTTATTGACCATTCTGAATCGCTCAATATCTGAATATTTATAAACGTATTTTTTTATTGAATATCCGTGTTTGTAAAGCATATCATGAAAAGATTCTTCATTTTTACAACATTATTTCTATGAATCACTCATTTATTTCCCATCCTCAATACTTAGATGATAAAATTAATTAAGGAATTTATTATCCAGTGAGAAACTAAATATCTTTCCATATCATTATGGTAACACTTACTGATTAATAATAAGTCATATAACCAAAAAAGCGATTTTTCTGACTTGGATGATATCAAGCACTGTATGTTGTGTACCAATCTTGCAATAAAGATATAACGACATCAAATGAAATTGTGAATAGAATTATTATATGATTGATAAGAAAATTCTATTCTCAAATGTAAACAGGGTTGTTTCATTTATGTTTAATAAGATTTCTTTAATTTAATAAAAAATAAGTGATCTGATTGATTTTTACTGTGTGTATGTTTAGTTTCCAACTGTTTCAATCTAAAAATTGACAAACTCAAATCGAGATCATACTGCTTATCTTATCAAAGTTACTGACTAATATATTGAGACGCCTATTATTTTATCATCTATGGATGTTACGATATGAAGCAACTATATGATAATAGTGCACCTTACGTACATAAATTCAGTTCCATTAGTATAAAAAGTATAAAATGTAGAATAACTTATTATAGACAATTGTCCTGAGGTGCAAGTATTTAATGCCATGCTTAATAGCAACAAAATTAAAATACTAAGAAAAAACACTCAACCTCCCATGCTTGCATTACGTATGATCTGTCTTTAAATAATCGGGTTTTTTACACAAACCATTGTTGTACTAACTTTTAATTAAATTTAATAAATAACTAACTGTTTCACGATTAACTAATCCTTGCATTTATAAGTAATAATCCCATTTCTTTTCTGTAAATTTATGCTATGTATTTGTATATTATAGCAACTCATATGCATACTATGACAAGAGAATTGAGAGAAAGATTGTCTAAAATGCAACTTGGAGGAGGAACTGGTCTTAAATCAGTGCCTATACCCTCCACGACACTTGATAAACCTGATCAAAGATTATCAAAATATGCATCCAAGGAAGAAGTTGCAGAATGGTTAGTAGCGCATCAATTCTCGCCAAAGTAAGTGCCCAAACATAAAAAAGTGAACTTAAGATGTAACAAAATTTCCCAAGATATGTATAAAATTCCTGATAAATATATTTGTGTTCAAATTATCCATAACATCAAGTGTTTATCAATAATTTCTTTTAGTTCTCATCTATAACTCTAGTAAGGTTACCAAATAGGCGATCGATGATCCTAATGTTAAACAAGAGAAAAAACCGTCTACTAATTTGTCAGAATCCTAAACAGAATGAATTGTTGTATACGTGTTTAGATCCCAACCGTACAACCTTCAAATGTTCTTTCAACTAAATGATAATTCTTAAATTTTTAAATATTATTTAATTTAGATTAGCAAACGACCATATCTCAGGAACTATTTAAAACAAACATTGTACTACATTAGATTAATCCAAACCTTCTTAAGCATAAACATTTACAGTGATTCAACTCAAGTGGACTTTACCAAATGAAAATAGTATAGTTCTTACGGTTTGTACGATGAGATCTTCGAAAGCCATTCACTGTCGAATTCACTTAATATTTTTGTAATAACTTTAGGGTCTTCCCTAGATTTGTATGAATGAATTATTAGAAATATATCATCTATATTCCGTCATTTAACTACATTCTTGAGATGTGATTTGGTAAAATATATCTAAAAATTTCTAATATATACACAAAACTATAGCTCACTTAGATAAATGTATCATAACTCTGAAGTGATTTCTTTTTACGTTACACGTATTAGGAAAATAAATATATAGTTGTACAAAGGTAGTTATACTGCAAATATCTTCGTAAGTACAGTTTAACATGTTAGTTAAATGTTCTCTTTGCATTACTCTTATAATCTTCATTAAAACAGTGAGATGTAAAAAAGAATATAAATGGAAGTAAATTAATTTCCACTACGTAAAATTGATAAATACTCACATATAAATACTGTCGACTCAAAAATTAACTAATGTTTATTACTTAGCAAAGTTTTGATCAAAATTAGCAAACATTCGTATCCAACTTGTATAGCTATTACAAAAATAATTAAATTATATGAATAAACTACTTATAATCACCTATTTTATTTACGATAAACATTTTACTTTTTTCCATATGCATGCATATTAAACCAATGTTGTGAATGTTTTGTTAGATTAAGTGATTTTATACATTAGAAGTTCTAATAAAACTAGCAACTGCTTAGGACTAAAAGAGATGTAACCTATATGAATGATATCTTGTCCAAAACTCTTGAAAATATTGTCGTAAAAGTAACTATTTTCGAAATGAACTGATACTGCTCTTAACATACATTAAGTTTTCCTATTTAGGATTAGAATCCTGAATTAAACAGAATATCAATACACTAACAAATGATTTAATTTATTATTCATAGCAATTTATCATTTATATGAACACAAACGACTTATTAATGGTGATAATGTGCATTTTACTTATAGTTTGTCTGAAATTTATGATTTACTTTTCAGAGCTATATCTGCTTTGAAAGGATTTAAAGGAATGGATCTTTATACAATGAATCGAACCCAGTTAGAGCAACATGTTGGACCAGAGAGATGCGATGAACTATTTTATGCATTCCGAGGCACCTAATTCAATTTCAATAATTATTAAATTAATAATTGTGTAAGTAATAGTTGTTCTAACGTTAATTCACTTTTTTTTTAAAATGCCCTCACACATATTAATGATAACTGCTACTGGCCTCATTGTTATTGTGTGGCGCATATGTACTTGGTGCCTCCTTATACCAATGTTTATGTGTTCAAATAAACAATAAATAAATAAATACAACAAAAACCGAAAGGGTGGTTTATTTAACCGTATTATAAAATCAGAATTATTTCTAAAAGTGATAAATGATTAAGAAATTAATTCAAAGGCAATGATGAATAATATATTTATACTACCATTATTGTTAATAAATGAATTGAAATAGATTGTTAAGAGATTGATAGATTAGATATCTGGCTAGGGGATTGAGAGGTTTTGATGAGAAAAAGTTTCATGAATACCTGCGTAAAAAGTGGTGGCTCAGTGCTTATAGCGTCTAACCTTCAACCACTAAGTTCCAGGTCCAAAATCCGCCCTACCTGCTTCAGTTTGGGCAACCGGGTAGTATCGCTAGCCCTCACGCTTACGGTATGGTTCTCAGTAAAGTACCTGACGAACGAATAAATAAGAAAAAATAACAATTTTTGAGTCGGAACAAAAGACAAATGGAATTTCAGAAAGAAAGCGAAATAATAAGTAACTTTTATGTGATAGATGAAACTATTCCCCGATACTAATAAGTAAGGTAATAAGAGAGGTTGTAAAAACTTCTTTTGAATACAAAAATTAGGTTTGTGAAATACAGATCTCGATGGCCTCACTCACGTAAACCATGAGAGAAACTAGGTTGGATTTGGTAAATCATTACATATCAATTGTCGAAATTGTTTTAATAATCTGAGTGACTGAAGTTTCAATCATAGATTATTTAAATACAATCTTTACATTTAATGTCTTTTATATACTCCGGCCCCAATTTATATCAGACTGTTCGTCCAAATTTTGACCACTAGAGTTTTATTAGAATTCACTCAATGCCCTGTATCTATCAAGCAAATAACTTTAGAGATCCTAATAACCTGAAACTACTATTTCCCTAACCATCAAGGATATTGTTTTGGAATTTAACAACCAACTTATTCAGTTGTGCCCCCCAATGTAAAGAACGCTATAAGAAGTGTTCATGTGGAGGTGAATTCAGGCGGTATCTTTTTTAGAATTAACAAGATCTGTTGGCTATTTATTTATTGTGTATACTCTGTTTTAACATTTCATCCAACCTGATATCTAGAAACGATATGCTGTTATTTTATTCTTCATCTAAATTGAGCGTTATGGGTAGGTGAATTAATATCGCTGAACTTACCATGTGTATTATTCATATCCCTTTTTCTGTAAGTACCATGAAGGTACAATCTATGCAGCAACATTAAAACTATGGTTGTCGTTTACTTCTTTAAACAGTCCATTTTCAGGTTGCACCAGATATATGTGCTGGAAGTGAACCCACAGGTAACCTTATAGCTACTATATCTCAGTGTATTATGGTGATATGTTCTCTAAGCTATACGGTTTAACTGAAGAACTTCCATTACCGTTCTCAACATCTCCATAAACCATCAGAGGATCAACACCAAAAACAATTACCAGGATACTGAAGCCCTTTGGAATACACATAACCAGCACAACCACTTCATTCCACTAATTCTACCCAGACCAAGAGGCACAACCGCACCACGAGACAAATACAGCATTATCTACAGTAGAAATAGCCAAACTACTAGAAATATAACATTCAGCAGATTGAACGCCCTTTTTTATTTATAAACAAATCAACAAAGATTGTCGGCGAGGCGAGTGATACTAATGCACACAGACAACCATGGAAATGAATGCGATTGGAGAAAAGTCAGAATTCTGGATCAGGTAAGCTCTAAGAATGCCAGGTAACTCCCGGAAGCATACCATTCAGACCAATTAGCAGTCAACAGACACACTGACATAGACCGAACCTGTGAACCCTTGCAGAAGAGGTCAATCAGTTTCAATGACGGACAGAAGTCAACTGACAAAGGCAGTCAATATGAATGCAAGGACAAACTGAGACAGTCAATCTCAAACAAAGCCATCGGGATGAACTGACATACTACTTGCGGAAAAACTGGGAAACTTACTTCCACACGAAGTGGGCGGCGAAGATGTCTAGGATGATAATGAAAGCAATTAAACCATCTAAGCCAGGAAACACAATTTCACCAAAAGCATCCGCCTGAGTTGCAAATCTCTTCTATCATCCCAATGCCTGTAAACTTCGCTGTTGAATTAGATGGACATACTCATTATTCACCTGGCGATTGACTTATAACGGAAATAGAGGAATCTTGACTTGTTTGTCGCCCAATAAGCTTAGTACATATGAAACAGTGTTTCCAGTCAATAAAAGTTGGTGAATAGGGATGACACAACTGGCGATACCATTAATTTATTTTTGACTTACTACCCAAAAATCTACAGTTGCTTATTTGTTTATTTGAAAACATAAATATTGGTACAAGGGGGAATCAGATATATATGCGCCACACAAAACAATGAGGATTGGAAGAGAAAAAGAAGGCAAAGTGCGTATAAGAAAACAAGAAGAACAATAACGAACAAAGATTAGTGTATGGTAGTGTAATAATAATGAGGGAAACGGGAAGGTACAAACAGAAAAGATTCCTTCAGTTAAGGAAGTTACAACCACTTTTTCTGAAGAAAGTAAAAGAAGGTTATAGCAGGATCGCCACTGGCTTCTATTCTGAGCCATATATGATGACTTCTCTAGCCACTGTGTAGCACCATCTCTCGGACCCCAACCAGGGAGTCGTGAAGGACCAACACAAGCCAGTCCTTTGCAGCTTTTTTTCATACCACGACACCATGTCATACGCTGACCACCTCTCCGCTTCTTCCAACCAGTCCCAGAGTCGGCAAATAATGCACGACGTGGAATTCTCTGGGACGACATTCGTAGAACATGTCCAAGCCACCGAAGTCGGTGTTTCAAGATGGTGACACCAATTGAATTATCATCTCTGTGCCCGAACACACGATGCCGAACCTCTGCATTACTAACATGGTGTTGCCACTGGATGTCAGCAATCCTTCGGAGACAGCGATGATCGAACACAGAGAGTCGTCTAACGTCCTCAACTCGGAGAGACCAGGTTTCACAAGCATAGAGCAAAACTGCTCTCACCGACGCGTTGTAGATCCGACCTTTTACAGCCAGACTAACATCACGAAGGCGCCAAAGGTGGCCCAGATTGGCATAAGCCGCTCTGGCTTTCACTATACGTGCATTGATCTCATCACTCACGCCACCACCACCAGCACTTATGCAGCTACCCAGATACACGAACTTCTCGACTACTTCTATCTGCTCACCATCCAGGGTGAGTACAGGATTAGAATCCTGCCAGTCTTGTAGAAGTACTTTGCACTTCGAAGGTGCAAAGCACATACCATACCTACGGACACTGATTGCCAACTGATTAAGTGCGGATTGCATGCCTTGGGCATTATCGCACAGTAAGACAATATCGTCCGCATACTCAAGGTCGAGAAGTCTTTCTCCAGGCAACAGATCCACACCACCATTACTTACATTCATCAGAGCTGTTTCCAGAATGTCATCGATGGCAAAGTTGAAGAGGAATGGTGAGATTGGGCAACCCTGCCTAACCCCACTGCTCGAATGGAACAATGGAGAGAGGTGGTTGTATGCCCTCACTCTGCCTGAGGTGTTTGTATATAGAGCCTTTAGGATGTTAATAAACTTCTCAGGCACACCCTTCTTCAATAGACAATCCCAGAGAACAGTCCTGTCCAACGAATCGAAGGCAGCCCTGATGTCAAGAAACACTACGATTGTTGGCCTTTGAAAAATATGGCGGTGTTCTAACATTTGGCGGAGGGTGAAGATATGATCAATACATCCTCGACCAGAACGAAACCCAGCCTGCTCCTCGCGAGTCAATCTTTCTCGGGTTTTGAACAACCTACGAAATATGACGGAAGCCAATAGCTTGGACGCAATCGGAAGTAGACTTATCCCCCGATAGTTGTTACAGGAACGACGTGAACCCTTTTTAAAGATAGGGACAACTATCGACTCATTCCATGACGTTGGTACACACTCTAGTTCCCAAACCTTTGTAAACAACGTCGTCAATTCCTTAGTCAAAAAGTCACCACCATCTTTAAAAAGAGCCGGAGGTAAGTCATCTGGGCCAGGTGATTTGTAACGCTTCAAGAGTTGGAGTTCCTTGCGGACTTCCTCCTCATTTGGTGGATCAGTCGTCACCGGCCATGGAGGGCAGGACAGTCTGACCGATGTTGCCGGAGCAGCAGGCCAGTTGAACTGCCCTTCGAAAAATTCTGCCCATCGTCCAAGACGTCGATGGATGTTAGTGATTGGCATCCCATCATCCTCGCAGATTGTTTCACTCACACCAGACTTCTTGCTGCCAGTGGCTCGGATGAGTTGGAAGAGCTTCCGGTAGTTACCAGATGCAGCTGCTGCTTCCAGCTCATTAGCACGCTTCGACCACCAGGCTTCTCGGTCCTTACGCAAGCTTTGCCCGATTTCCTTACGTAACATCCTTCGTTTGTGGTCAAACTCACGGTCACCCGGAGTAGACCGACGGGCTTCAATGAGTTGTAAGGAACCAGAAGAAACCCAGTGCTTATAAGCGGGACGTTTCGCAAACCCACAACTGACTGTTCTCGCCATTTTCATGGCGTCATGCAATTGCAACCAATGCTCATCTATACTTTTCGGTGGAGTGGTAGCTAGCCTAGAGGCTAGCTCGGTTCGATACTTACTTGCAACAGAAGTTGCAACCAGCTTGCTAACATCAATCCGTTGATGGCGTTCACTTCGTTGTCCACTGAAAAGTAAGGTAAGATTGGCGCAGACCAAGGCATGGTCAGAGTCCAGATAGGTACTCCAAAAGGAGCGGCAGTCTTGTACACAACCACGCCAGCGGTAGCTGATCGCGATGTGATCAATCTGAGTCCAGGCTTGAGATGCAGAGGGAGGACGCCAGGTGGCACATCGGCGATGACTGTGCCGAAAGTTAGTGCTAGCCAGAAACAGGTTGTGGTCTGTGCAAAGTTGCAGTAGACGGTCCCCGTTATCTGACCTGCGACCAACGAGTCCCCATCGGCCACCTAAACGACTCTCTTCTGTGCCTAGACGCCCGACCTGAGCATTCAAGTCTCCGGCTAGTACTACAATATCTGTCGAACGCACTTTCTGGAGAAGAACAGATAACTGGTGGTAAAACTCATCCTTGATTGCATCCGGGCTGCAATCTGTCGGGGCATAGGCGGAGATGACGAAAAGACATCGTTTCTCACGCCGATTTCTTCTCACTTTGATGGAACTTTCTAATCTAACAGCACATAACCGACTGTTAATGGGGATCCAATCGACTAGTGCTGCCTCAGCTCTAGCGCTTAGTGCGACACCAACGCCAGCAAGACCAGACGAAGATGCCACAGGGTCCCCGGATAAGCGCACGTAAAACAAGCTTTTTGAAGCGACAGATGGAGAGCGAATTTGTAGTACTTCACTGGGGTCTTGAATACGGGTCTCGGATAGACAACAAACGTCGATATTAAGACTTTCTAAAGACATAGCCAACCCTATCTGTTTTCATATCTGCATTAGTGTATGAACGTTGAAGGCAGCCATTTTGAATGGTGCACGTAGTTTCAGAAAAACTGTTTCGCTACTCATATTCGGTGGTAGCATTCAATTTCCAACCAGCCAGTGACTCGAGATCATTTAGATAGAACAGAGTTTTCACCATAGGCGAGTTGCTGTATAAGTTGAAAAATAAGAATACACAAAGTGGGAATAAAACAGAGTGAATAAATGACGTAAGTAATAATAGTAATAATCTGAATTGTTTGATTTCCAATCGAAGCGTGAACAGTATTTTCAGTGGATATCGTCATTTCTTTTTGTTTGTGTGTGGGCTGTGATACTGCCCGGGTGGCCAGACCGAAGCAGGTGGTTTTCTTATAGGGCCACACCCCAAGCCTTTGACCTAAAGGTCTGATCCACAAGACAGTGGAACATCACATCGTAAAGAGATGCAGTCCCATGGTAGCGGGTGACCAACGATTGGTTCATACGCCATTTGTTCCTTTAGAATACTGGAGCCCATGTGCACTATAAGTTTGGAATTAGGGTTTTCCAACGCCCGTAGGTGAACCTACCGTGTCCACCGGCCTGGTTTAAGCGCCGGATATTTGCTTTCGTCCTCTTAATTTCCTAAACAACACTCCCGCCACGAGAAGGCAGTGAGTAGGACTTCCCTGGCAGAGGCTGTATACGCGTAGCCGTGTGAGAACATTTCGAGAGAAAGGGCGGGCCCTCCCCACTCTCGGCCGTACCAGGGTATTTGGGGGTTGTTTACAGTATACATGACAGTTTCTTTCTGAAATGGCTTTAAGAGTTGTATCGGGCATTTTCCCGTCACATAATGAGGGGAATCGGTTGTATCTAAAACAAATTGGAGTGGCAACCACTTTCATATACTCTAGATAAACCATAGAGTATAGGTGTTATTGTACCTGTAGACCTCAACATCTCGTTCAAATTTAGTCTTTTTCAACAACTCCGCGAGGTGCTTCTAATTTTATCTGTCACATTATTATTGACTAACAATTTGTCTTATTTTGCCTATGCTACAACAACATATCTTTTCGGCATAATCGTCCCCATCCAATATAACCATACCTAGACCTTGGTAATAGTGGAACGGTGACTCAGCGCTTAATGCATTCGAATTTTAGTCGCTGAACCACATATTCAACCCCACTCCGGTTTGAGTAACCGGATAGTGTCACTATCCCTCGCACCTAGTGTGGCTCATACCCAAGACCTAGTGAGTAAGTTTAATGTCTAATACTTGTTGATATTTCTTGTACTGCCAAGTTGCCAGACTGATTGCCTGGAGACATGTATAATTAACCTAAAATATTCTAAGACTAATTAGTTTATTTCTACTACTTTTATTTACTTTTTGCAGGTAAACTGTTCATATCAGAAGCTTAGCAAAATCTTCAAAACCCAGTTTTTAATCCTTCTTTCTGTTTTTATCACCATGTTGATTAGTGATCATTAGTTTGAGTTAATATGAATGATTCCTAACAGCATTTCGGAAAATTTAGAAACCAGTCTTTATTAACAATATTATTTTCCATGAATCAATGCCGAATGAGGTACTAAAATACAGTTCTTTTCGGAACTTATACGTAACCTACTTATACACCTGTGTTTTATGTATTGATATTTCTAATGCTATATTTGTGAATGAAGGTTGCTTTGCAAACAATAATTTCCTCTGTTTTATTACATTTGGTTTATATTTATATATATAGAACAGCACAACTGCAACATGATTACATTTTGTTCATGTAATCAGAATATCTGAAGTTTACTGTCAAAAAATGATCACGTTACTTTTATACATTTTATTGATTATTTTGTCAAAGGTATAAGTTTTATTTGCACAAGGATTTAAGAACGTCCGGTGTGAGAAAACCGCGGAAAAGCTCCAGATTCGTTGTGAAATGAATCATTTCATTTTCGGAGTATTTAATCCATATTTTGCCTTCAATCGATCTAATTCTTCTTTCTTTTTGTCTACATCAGTTTTCTTGAATTGCTACAAAAGGAATGAGAAGTTGTTAAGAGCAACCAAAAAATATTATGTACATACGTATAGTTATGGTTAAAAAGAACCTGATATTTATACACGAACCCAGAGACTACAGGTTTTGATTGAAACAGTTGAAGTTAACTCGGTTAACAAGCATAGATTCGTTTACTATGTCAAACACATCAATCAAGCGAAACTTGTTAAATAGGTCGGAGTAATGCAAGCACCAAACAACCGTCTGGCTCGTTCAATATTTTCGCCTTAACTATATGGTACTTATACTGGACAGAAAACCCGGTATGCCCTTATACTTATTATCAAAAAGCTCTGAACTAAAGGATGCTTTAATATCGGCTGATTTATCGGTGTTGCATTTAAATTCTTAAACAGTATGAAGACTACCATATTACCCTGATGTTTTACGGCTGTATAAACTTTACAGACAAATAATTTTTGTTGACGTCATCATATGGAAATATACAAATCAATATAAAGCATGATAACGACACAATAAAACAATACAGAATACCTTGTTTCTCTGGTAGTACAGAACTACGAGATATCGGTTACAAACGTTAAAGCCACTGAGGTGATCACAAGCGTTCTTAGCGTCAAAAATGTCTTCATAGATAACCAGAGCAGTTCCTTTCGTTTCAGGGGTGTTGCCGATGCGAATTTGACGGATAGCACCGTACTTGCCGAAAATATCATACATTTCTTCCGCTGATATGTTATAGGGTAGGTTTTCACCAACAAGATCCTATTTACCTCTGGAGGTAGACGAGTCTAACGATCAAATTCAAAAAGAGCATTACTAGTTTTGAGAAAACTGTATTTTGATCCAAATACCATAGATAAGGTTTCCTCACTTTAATATGGATGTCAATATCTCTCTAAACGAAAACCACTATTAAATTAGCATTTTTAAAATTACCAACTTTAGTGATACTGCCTTTTTTGTAGAAAAGATGAGTTAGAAAACTTAGGTCCTAGAGAGGTCAGACACGAGTGGTTTGCTACTGAAATATGAATACGGAGGGGCCACCTAGGTGAATTGAAAAATTCGGATTCCAAACCAATAGTGAACATGAGTGTCAGGATCCTATAGAATAATAGTGTACCGGTCATCAGCTAACATGGGATCGCATCTCCTAACGATGCCCCACCATCTTGTGGATTGGACCTCCACATCAAATGCCCGCGAAGTAGCTCCGTAAAAAAACCATCTGCTTCGATATGAGCATCAGGGCGGTATGCTAACCCGTTCACTAGCTAAATTATGACTACAATTACAAAAACTATTCGCGCTTTAATTCTCATCCCCGCAAATCACACAAAACTACTTATTAATACTTATTTTATTTTACATTGTCACTTGTCTATTAGTATATACCCATTTTGTACATTCCTTTATTTTTCAACTCCCATGACAGCTCTTCGATGGTGGAAAATCTGTTCTATCTAAACGATCTCGCGTCACTGACCAGTCGAAAGTTGAGCACTACCATTGAATACGAAATCTGAAACAGCCTTTATGAAACCACATGTGCCATTCAAACTGGTCTCATTCAACGTTCGCACACTAATGCAGATCGGACAACAGACAGGGTTAGCTATGTCTTTAGAAAGTACCAACATCGATGTCTGTTGTCTATCCGATACCCATATTCAAAACTCTGCTGAAGTACTATAGATTTGCTATCCTTATGTCACTTCGAAAGGCTTATTTCACATGCGTTTACCCGGGGACCCTGTGACACTATCTAGTTTTAGTTGCATTAAGCGCTAGAGCTGAGGCAGCACTAATCGATTGAACCCTCAATTAATAGACAATTATGCATTGTTAGGTTAAAATGTCCCATCAGAGTAAGAAGAGATCAGTGTGAAATACGTCTTTCCGTTAATATTCACCTACACCACAACAAAATGCAATCAAGGATGAGTTTGACTACCAGCTAAATGTTCTTCTACAAAAAGTGTTTTCGACAGATACAGTAGTACTAGTTTGAGACTTGAATGCACAGGTAGGGTGTCTAGGTGCAGAAGAGTCGTTTAGATGGCCGGTAGGGACTTGTTGCTTGCAAGTTGGATAACAGTAACCGCCTACTGCAACTTTGCACAAACCACATTTTTTTTCTGACCAGCCTTAACTATCAGTACAGTCATCATCGATGCTGTCCGGCTGCACTTTAAACCTGAAGTCAAACTGATCACACCGCGATCAGTTACCACTGGTGTGGTCGTGTACAGGACTACGGCTCCTTTTGAAGTATCTATCTGAACTCTGATCATGTACTTGTTTGAGTTTATCTTGCGTTTCAGTGTCTAACAAACTTATCGTCTAAACCGGATCATTGTAAGCAAATTGGCTACAGCATTTGTTGCGACTATATATCAAATCGAGCTAGGTTCAATGCTAGCTATCGACCCACAGGAAACTACAGATGAATTAGTTGAATTTACATGAGGCCAAGAAAATGATAGCCACTTGCGGCTTCGCGAAAGGTCCCACTTATGAGTACTAGGTTTCTAAAGGCTCCTTAAGACCCGATGAGGGGCATCGGACCACTACTTGTAACAGCGAGTTTGACGACAAACGTAGATTCTTAGGTAACGAAGCTGTGCAAATTTTGAGCAAGGATTGATAAGCCTGGTGGTCGAAACGTGCTTTTAAGTTGGAGGCATCAGCGGTATCTGGTAACTACCGGAAGCTCTTCAAACTTATTTGAGCCACTGACAGCAAGAAGTCTGTTGTGAGTGAAACAATCTGTAAAGTTGACAGGATATCACTCAGTAACATCTACTAACGTCTTCAGGAAATAGTTCAGTTGGTCTGCTGTCCCAGAAACATCGATCATATTGTTTTGTCCTCATTGATCAGTACCGACTGATCTACCTGGTAAGGTGGAAGTTCGCAAGGAACACCGACTACTGAAGTGCCACATATCTCCAGGCTTAGATGACTTACCTTTGACCCTTTTTAAAGATATGAAGCAACTCTGTGTGATCATCCTTGTCTCCGAAGGATTACCAACATTCAGTGACAACATCGTGTTAGTAATGCTCAAGCTTAGCGATGTATATTTGGGCAAAGTGACGATAATTGATGTCATCATCTTGAAACACCAACTTCGGTGATTTGAGCACGTAATAAAAATGTCCCAGTGGATCCCATGTCGTGCGTTATTTGCTGACATAGGGGCCGGCCGCGAAAAGTGGCGAGGTGGTCAGTGTATGACATGCTGCCAAGGCACAAAGGAAAGCTGTGCAAGACTGGCTTCTGTTGGTCCTTCAGGACTCCCTAGTTGGAATACTGAAGACAAAAACACAATTGTTCGACAGGTTATTATACATGGCTCAGAACAGAAACCAGTAATGATCCTGCTGTAACTTTCACTTTCTTCACGAAAGTAAGAGTAACTTCTACGACTGAAAGAAATCTCTCTGGTCGTTTTTTCCGAACTGAACTGCTTCTGCTATTATTTTCTTTTACTCCTACTCACCTGTTTTTATTCATTTAGTTCTATATAATATGCTCACCTTTCTCTACCTCTTTATAATCACATTCTCTTATTATGTGGTGCATACTGTACTACTATCTGATTTGAATAAATAAATAGTGACCCTAGAATAACGAGTAAGCAGATTCGAGCAACAGCCCTGATCACATTTTAGGTTGTGGTTGATCTACAAGATACCAATGGATGACATCCAGGTTCTTTTTTGGGACACCATAAAATGCCAGTTAAGCAGTGGAAATCAGCTTCCCTCCTTAAATAGTTTCGGTTACTTTGGTTTACAGGATATCCTGAAATTCTTTGGACTAGTTACGAGTTTGATCAGCCATTTATAAAATGACGGTATCTAGGCTATAGAAACCCACTAACGCCGCACTTCAGTCATGATATTTACTTAAATTGTGCCTATCTATATTCATTTATTTACAGACGATACCCAAATACACCTGACTTGTAGCAGACAAGATCGATTTTAAATCATTTTAGAGTTATTTTGATTCACTTTTTAAGTATCAGATTTGAATATAAGAAAGCAGTACTATTGACGGACACATCTATGTTAATGGTTATTAATCCCCAAACAATTTTCAGTGTTAGTTACAATCTCATTAAAAACCAACTTTTCAAACAAACAAGATACGATGGTATGTGGTATCACGAGTGATGAGACTAAAATTTGTGAACGACCTTTGGGCGATGCTAAAACGACCTTGGGGAAAAACCTGCTTACTAGGCTCAATAGAGGAATGTAAATTAGTACGAGGAACTAGGACTGGAATCTAGAGCTAAATTTAAGATTAGGAATTAGAATAAGTTTTCAACACGAAGTGACATCAGCTATGATGCAAAAATGCTATTTAACCACATAGATGAATGAACTTCACGCTAAAATTTTAGACTACCTGTCGTTAATTTCATGGTTCTTCCATAGATTATAGACTAACCTCACGAAAAATTAACGATTAGGACGCGCTAAGTATCATGACTATCCACCCAGTGCGTGGGATAAACTAAACAAAGAGGACATTCAGATTTACTTATCAGACAGTGACTACCGGTCTCAGAATAAAAAAGAAATGTAGTGTTCTCGGTTTAAACTTACACACGTCAGGAATCAGTGGTTGAGTAAACATGACAGCTGGAAAAAAAAACAATATTGTGCTGCATATACTGAAGTTTATGTCCTGCTCCAGACCTTAACGTTTAAGAGCAGGTTGGTGATACATCTTAGGTGCTTGAAGACACATAGATGAAGAAGGATTATATCATCCGGACTAATGGTTAAACTATGTCTTGACAACTTATAGATGAAAAGCAATCACAAACAAACTTATCCTCGGCTTTCTCCTGACCAAAACCTTGTCAATGAATACTTTGTTGCTCACTTTGTATTAAAACAGTCTATTTGCTGACTGACTACATTTCCTTGTCACAGGAGGACATTTTAATATTTCGGGGGAGAATTGGTGGTGACTGACATTCATCTTTCGTATATTGATTTAGCAATGGCAGTTCTGAAATTTATATTACTACGTAGTCAGGAGATACAACTCATACTAGATGTAGTTAACGTGTGTTCAAATTCAAATGCCTTACTAAACTTACCAGAATAAAGGTCTTAGCAAAGCATACCACCACTTCCCGGAAGTAAAGCGAAATATACTTAGAACACTTAATTACAAACAGAAGACACAGAGCTGACCCAGTAAACAAAAGAAGTAAGAAACAAACTTACAGCATTTTTGCGTCCTAATGCCATCCCGATGTACCGTCCATGAATGAACTACGCGGCAACCGAATTGTTCAAATGGTTCAAATGGTTGTGGACGGAATAGAAGAAGCTTTCGCTTAACAGGCTTCCGTGTCTAGTAGCAGGGGATCACCAAATCCTCCAGGCAGGAACCTAGGTATGTTAACAATAAAAGAGGAAAAAAATTGGTAAATCATAGTGTGATAGGTCAAGTTGCCTCTTGAAGGACTCCTGAGAAGTCGCTTGGACTAGCTCGGCCGGCAGCGAATTCCAGCTTTTGACAACTCTTAAGGAGTAGAAGTTGTGTCTACATTCCGTCTTGCTATGTTGTGTTTCCAGTTTCTGGGTGTTACCCCTTAGGTTATTATTCGAACTAAGCTTAAGTAGGTGTTTAAGAGGATGTCCAGAAGTGTTAAGAATACTATAAGCCATTAATAAATCACCTCTAAGACGCCTATATTCTAATGGGTAAAGGTCTAGTGAACGGAGGCGTTCTTCGTAAGGCTTAGATTTGAGTCCTCGAACTGATTTCGTGGCTCGCCGTTGGATACGCTCCAAAGTGACCTTGTCCTTTTGGAGTGAGGGAGGGAGTACTATGTTTCCGTACTCTAAATGGGGACGGATGAAACTATTGAAGATTGTGTGGAAAGTTCGTCCGTCAAACTGTCCAAAAATGCGCTTCAACGTTACCAGTGCAAGGTTTGCTCGGAAGGCATTTTTGTCACAGTTAGCGTAAGACTTTAAATCATGGGGCACCAGGACTCCTAAATCTTTTTCGACTTGGGATACTACTAGAGAGGAGTTTCCTAAGTTGTAACTGTAGTTTGCGACATGTCGCAGATGGACTACTTTACACTTTGAAGTGTTAAAGGTAAGTCCGTTATCGTCTGCCCAACTTTGAAGTCGAGTCAGATCCTCCTGAAGTGCCTGTATATCGTCTTGGTTGCGTATCTCTCTCCAAAGTTTCACGTCGTCGGCAAAAAGTAATAAGTCTGACGTTACCTGTTGAGGAAGATCATTTATGTAGATCAAGAAGAGAAGAGGCCCTAGTACTGAGCCCTGGGGGACCCCACTAGGACATTCCATAGCCTGAGATAAAGTGAAATTAACCCTAACCTTAAAGTGTCGATTTTTTAGGTATGAAGTAAGCCAGTCGATTAGAGGTGGTTTGATACCTAGTCGTTTGAGCTTGTTGATAAGACACAAGTGGTTAACCTTATCAAAAGCTTTTGAGAAATCAAGGTAAATGATATCAACCTTTCCCTTGCGATCGAGGATGCTTGTCCATCTGTCCACCGCAGTCAGCAGGTTGGTTATACAAGAGTAACCCTTCCTGAAACCATGCTGTTGGGGTGAGAAGAAATTTAAGGACAGTAGATAGTCGTTTAAACCGTCGCATATCAGGGACTCCATGAGTTTTGAAGGTAATGACAGAAGAGCCACCGGCCGATAACTTGAAGGTTCATTGCGTCGACCACCTTTGAAAATTGGTGTGATGTGAGCCAACTTCCAATTTTCCGGTAATTTGCCTCGGCTAAGCGAGTGTGAAAACATCACGCTAAGCGGCGTTGCCAGGATTGAGGCTGCCTCCCTCAGTATGGCAGGATGAACCATATCCGGGCCAGGAGAAGTATCTAGTCTTAAGTGCTGCAATTTCCGGAACACCAAGTCAGCGCTTAGGTCCACTTCGGAAAGTCCTGTGGAATTGCAGATGAAACTGTCGTCAGTAAAGTTGATGTCAGCCGGTTGAAATGTTTGAGAGTAATGTGCCGCCAGAAGGTTAGCGGCGTCGCCATCGTTGTTGGTCGGGCCGTTAAGACCTAGCAGTTGAGAAACTCCTGTTTTGGCTTGACGAAGAGAGGCTGCATAACGGAATAGGCTTCTAGGGTTAGAGGCGAATTTGTCCATGAGCTTTGTCTGGTACTGAAGCCTGTACGATGTCTTCAAAAACGTTGCAAATTGTTCTGTACGGAACCAAATAAGCTTTTGCTTAACGGGATTCCGTGTCCAGTAGCAGTAAATCACCGACGCCTCCAGGTAAGAAGCTGAGTATATTTAACGATGAAAGAAGAAGTAGTTAGTAAATTATAGCGAGAAACTTAGTGCATAAAAATATGTCATGTTTTCACTTAAAGGACTCCTGCAAAGTCACTTGGACTAGCTCATTTGGCAAATAATTCCAGAATCTGGCTGCTTCTAACGATTATAAGGTGTGACTACAGCCGGTCCTTCCATATTGTCTCCAGCTTCTTGGCGTTAACCCTAACGTTTGTGTTAGGACTAAGCTTAAGTGGGTGTTCAAGGGTGATGTTTAGAAGCAGTTAGGATGTTCCAAGTCATTGGAAGGTCACCCATAAGACGCTTGTATTATGATGGATAAAGGTTCAGTGATTGGGGGTGCTTTTCATAAGACTTGAATTTTAGTCCTCGAACTGATTTCGTGGTTCACCGTGGTTCCCAGTGCACTTTTATTCTTTTGAAGTGAGGGAGGAAACGTTATACTTTCATACCCTAAACAAGGTCAAGTAATACTGACAAGGATCAAAAGGGAAGTTCTTCAGTCAAACTGTCCAAAAATGCGCTTTGGTGTTACCAGCCCACGCTCTGATCAAAAGGCATTTTTGTAGCAGTTAGAGCAAGACTTCAAGTCATAGGTATCAACACTCCTAGATCTTTTTCAATTTGGGACACCTCTAGAGAGGGTCGTCTAAGTTGTAGTTGTAATCTGCAACATGTGTCAGACGGACTACTTTACACTTTGAAGTGCTAAACGTAAGTCCTTTGTTGTCCGCCCAACTTTTAAGTCGAGTCAGATCCCCTTGAAGTACCAGTTTGTCCTCTTGGCTAATGATAAACCCGACGATACCTGCCATAAAAGATCGTTTATATAATTTAAGAAAAACAGAGGTCCTAGTAGTGAACCTTGGAGGACCCCACCAGAACATTTCATAACCTGAGAAAAAGTGACGTCAACCATGACTTTAAAAATTGACTATTTAGATGGGAAGTAAGCTGACCAATTAAAGGTGATTTGATACCTAATCGTTTGAGATTATTGATAAGACATATATGGATAAGCCTATCAAAAGCTTTTGAGAAGTCAAGGTATTTGACGTCAACCTTCCCCTTGCAATCATGGATGGTTGTCCATCTGCTCACCGCGGTCAGAAGGTTGGTTATACATGAGTCACCTTTCCCGAGACCGCGCCGTCTGGGTAAGAAGAAGTTTAAGGATAGTAAGTAGTCATGTAGACCATCTCATATCAGGGATTCCATAGTCTTTAAGGGTATAGAGAGAAGTGCTACCGGTCGGTAACTTGAGGTTTCGCTACTTCGATCTCCTTTGAAAGTTGATGTGATGTGAACCAGCATCCAACTTCCTGGTAGCAGGCCTTGGCTCAGAGAATGTGAGAATATAATGCTAAGCAGTGTTGACAAGATTGAGACTGCTCCCCGCAGTATATCAGAACGGACCATATCCGGGTCGGGAGAAGTGTTTTTGTTTAGGCACTACAGTTTCCCATTAGCCGGTTTAGAGCTCAGGTTAACTGCTACGAGTCCTATTGAGTTGCAGGTGAGGCTTTTATCAATCCTTGTGATGAGCCAATATATATATTAGTTAATTTTCTTACGTCTGGGCACCTGTCAAAGTCTTTTGTAGAGTTCAGTTAAAGTAATTTATCCACTTGACTACCCTAGTCCTTTGGAGATTTCAGATTTGTGCACTGAGGATAAAGCACACATGGTCTAAGTTAGTCCTTTCCTAGTTAACCTCTGAGAGCTTCTAACCTCTCGAGATATCCGTTTCATCCTGTTAACATGAGCTTACAGATTAAACGCAGTTCTTAAGTCCGGATCTCATTAAGACCATGTATACTGTGGTGAACATACCAGTATCCAACTTGGTATATTTCCGTCTTAAAGCCCATTGGACTCTGAACCCTTTGGCTGCAACTGCATCGCCAATGGCCGTGGTCTTGATATTGGTACTGCTCTAATAATAGACCTAATCCTAAAATTGTAGATTTGTCATGATATAACTGCTCAATCCATAAGATCTTACATGGAAGTCACATCATCATCTACACCAACTCACTGTATCGTAACAATTACCAATACATGATGGAGAACAAGCTTAGGCTAGAGAAAGAACAATATATTTAACATAAATAAGAGATATAAGGTAACATTCCGCAGGGACCACGCCTGCATGACCGAACCATGCCATCCGATCAACTCCAATTAATTCAAACCCTTGTTCCCGCCTTCTCCATCGTTAGGTATTTCTCCGCATTAAATACTGAACATCTATTTTCCGAGTAGTCTCGTGTTCAGCTTTGAGGATTGTGTGGTTATGGTCCAATGCCATTACAGTCTCACTGTTACCATAAGATCATTGTGAGACCAGAATACAAGCACTGACTCTTCTTCAATTTTGTACCTAGATATTGGGATATCCCCAGTATTCATATGGACACACTTGGGCGCGAACAGGCATTAGACATTTATTAGACCAGATAACCGGAATGACTAAGTTTGGTTGAGGTGTACATGTATATACGTCTCCTGTCATTTCTTGCCAAATGTTTAAACCACAAAGCGTAAATTGGCACCGGGGGCCTGACGATATTCTGGAGTTCATTTAAATGCAGTATATAAGGAAGAAAACCTATAACATAATCTTGATGTACTGGTTTCTGTGAGGAGCATTTGGGATCCATTTTTACATTCTGCTTATAACCTATCAAGAAATCTTTGATCCACATTAGTTGAAGTCCAAGAATTATTAGATTTTTCGGCCTTAAGAGGAGGCTATTATTGGCACCTTATCAGATTCTTTGCCGGCGTCTACTTATACAACATTCGCCGATTTTCCATTGCCCAAAAACTCCGTTTATCTCATTCTTGCTTAAGGAAGTTTGTTGTGCAAGATAATCTTTTCATAAAACCATGTTGTTTAGTGTTGTTGATCACAACGAAGGTCATTATGGTGTTTCTAGTTGTTCACTCCAGCAATTTAACGACGGTACTGGTGAGGCTGGTAGGTCTGTAGTTT